CCATGTTTTTCAGGGGCATTAATTCAATCTATTATTACATTAAGGAAATAGGGCCCCCCCCCCCCACCTTTTTTTAAAAAACTCCTATATACTTTTATGATCTTGGGAAATCTTGGGAAATTTCATGACCAAATCTTGGGAAATTTTAAAAAAGTGAGTGGCAGCCCTGCTTTGTGTCCGTACTTGGAATCCAGAAAATCTCGTAAGCTTATTTAGGTCCATAATTTTGCGAAGCACACTGCCGCGGTGTACGCAGGCACTTCGTAAATTATTTAGGCTGATTTTTAAAGAAAAAAATATATTTATATTTTTCATTTATTTTTGTTTAAAATTTATGTATAAATATGGCTTATTTCACTTGTATTTTTTTATGATAATAGTTAAATTTCCTATCATTAAATGCTGGTTTATTTTAAAAACTGGTGATAAATATTCTTTTTACATGTTCAAAAGTATTAAATTTTAACTGGCCCACAATAAAGAAGAAATAGTCATGAGTCTACAGGAATTTAGGAATTAAAGTTACTTTATATTTTATGTTTTTTTTTTCTTTAAATTTAGCATCTACTTCATCTAGGCAACGGGCAATTCATGGTCAGTCTGTCTATGAATATCACACAATGTCTATGACAATGATAAACGTCAAACATGGATTAGTATGATTATGAATGAATAGTATGTCTATTTAATAAATAATTAATACCCGTATGTAAGTATGTAGTGTAGTGATGTAGTTTAGAACATGTAATATTAATTAATATTAATATAGTATAGTTAAAAGTGATTGATACTAATTGATAGACATCGCATCACTACTCACAGTCATAGTCATAGTATTATTATTATAACTTAGACTTAGTCTTTTAGTTAGTATAAGAATTATTAGCAAATTAGTATTTATGATTTATGTAAAAAAAAATTTTTAAGAAACATTTAAAGACATTTTTCTTTAACTTTAAAAAGTAAAAGATTTTAGGACATTAAAGCACTGTGAGCATGCAAAAATGAACTGCTCATTTCTGCCAAAGACAATCAGGGACTAGAACAAGCTTTCTAAAGAAACAGTTGAGGCGCAACACTTGACACATTTGTGTCTATTGCCTCAGGCCTTCCAACCCCCAGTACATGATACCCTCACAAAGTAGCCCTTGCAACCAGTGAAATATCCTCATCAACACCGGCACAAAAACATTGCAAATCCCCTCTTCATGCATTGGAGTAGGAGCCAAAATTATCAATAAATTCAAGGGTTATGCAGACCTGTTTACCCCCAAACTCTTAAAATCGTACAATATCTTCACAAAATCGTTCAATACATTATCTTAATAGTAAAAAAGAAAGATACAGTATAATATAATGTATACACCTCAAAATCATACATTGTACGCCAAAATCGTAAGAGTAAAGAGGTCTGGTTATGTTATTGGCATTGGTGTCTACCAATACCATCTTTTCCAGCTAGCTATTATCTCCTAGATGTATATTGGCCTGTGTTGTTAATGGTTGCAAGGGATGAAAGACTTTGGGTTTGCTCGTATGTAGTTTTGTAATGTTGCGTTTTGTATTCCACAATGTGGTAAAATGTAGATTGTTTCATTTCTCTTTTAATATGGTTGACTTTGTACAGCGCTTTGAGTCTTTAGGGATGAAGCGTGATTTTCAAATAAACTTTATTATTATTATTATATTAAAAGTAAAGTATGCAATCATCATCATCAATTAGGATAGGCTGTTTAAAGTTTAAATCAAGTATAATATACAATACAATACAACCTTTTTTTTTTTTTACTATAATGATGGAATTTAATTTTACTCTCAGTCTGTGTCAAAATATGAGACTACCCTTAAATATTAGTATGTAGTATTGATTAGTCATTAGTAAAATTCATTCATTAAATTATAAATTATTAATTATGATAATATATAACCTCTGTAAGACTTTATTAAGAAGACTAGTTATATAGTATAGCATAGACTGATTATAATTATAGTAATAATAATTAAAATATTATAATAACTGTATATAAAAAATAATATAAATATAAGATTAAGATATCCTAAATTAAAACTAAATGTGAAACTGATATGCTTATAATTTAAAGTATAATACTATTAATATTTATTATTATACCGGGTAATTAGTAATATAGACTTTAGAAACACATTACAAAAAATAGCAATATTTATATATTTTAACTTAAAGTGACACTGTCACTACTCCCCACTTATTTACCATTTGTTGACATTGTTGTAATAAGTACCAGTGCTCCAGAGTCAAGAGTAAATAGACTTATAGTAATAATGTTATAATTATTTATTATTATTAATTATAGGCCTAGGCTAGGGTGACCAAACGTCCAGTAAAAATGGGATTGTCCCATTTTTTCATTGTACACGAACAAGTCTCTCGGAACGTCTAAATGCCCTGTTTCTAAAACCAAACACATTTTCAAATCACTAAACCTTCATAATTTATAATATAACTTCAAGTAATATTTGGGCCAGCTGTGTAGCCAGTGCCAGCTGAGTAGTGATGTGGGCTCGCGTGATTCAACTGTTCCCCCTCCACTGCTCTGCCGATGCTGCGATCCCTGCCCATAATGGTAAAACTGAAAGAATCTTTTCGCTCATGAACATTCAATTTTCAATGGATGGACGAAAGAAACAAGATGAGATTGGAGACCTTTCTGCAATCCTGCAGGCTCTCTACAATTTCGAAATGGACTGTTCTAGTTTTTACAACTTTATATTAGATAAGGATGAGGTTTAAACAATGGCTGGGACAAAAGCCAAATATCCTCAATTTAAATCCTAGACTAGAGAAATTTAATTTGTTGTGTTGTATTATGTTGTAAAATATGTATAAATAAATAACTATTCACTGCAAAATTATTGTTTTCGTTTATGATATGCCTCAGAGTTTAAATTAAATTACTAAAGTGAAGGTAAATTTTAAAAGATTTCTGGGTCTCAAAATAGTTAAAATGAGCATATTTCAATAAAAAGTTTCTGGCGGAGGCCCCCCCGGACCCCTCTTTAGCAGGAGGGTATCCCCTCAAACAACCCTCCTTGGGTGTGTCCCGTTTTTTCCAGTTCATCATTTGGTCACCCTAGCCTAGGCCAGTGTGAGTGGTTGGCAAATCGCGGCTTGTGAGTTTTTTAGCGACCTGCGTGCGGCTCGACCAGATAGCCACAAATCAGTTTTTGAGTTTGACAGGTTCTTGAAAAGAAATCTGGTTCTAAAAATGTTTAAGCGTCCGTCCTGCTTCTGGTCTCTGGATTTTGACTAATGAGTTCGCCAATCACTGGTCTAGGCCAATACTGGCACTTCTGATACTGTATTTGAATATTTATATTGTTAATTAATAATAATAGCCAATTGTTGGAAATATAGTTTGATATTAGACTATTAGTGCTGGTATTTTACACTGGAGTAACTATACATTATTTCTTCAACTTTTAATTAAATTTTAACAAAATCAAACACAGGCAGAGGCATTGGCATTACCATGGACTAATTTTTCCAAGTTTACGAGTATGGCAAAAGTGTTCACTTCACCAGGACTCAGACAGACAGCTTCTGTAATTTCACTTAAAGCTTTCTCCCTTGCTAATAAAGTTACAAAAATAAAAATGCCCGAGGATCCCAGTGGAAAGGAAACTAGAGAAGTTCTACGTCTCTGGTGTTTTAACCTTTCATACATCTCTCGTACCTGGCAGTTTTTGATACTGACAAGTTTAACATTTGCCTTCTATCTTGTATATGGATACATGCAAGTAGGTAAATCCTATTTTGTGCAGACATATTTTATTTTTAAATAAGATTAAATTCTCTGCTTATATAGAAATCTAAAGAAAATATTTTTATTTAGCAATTTACAGAGTAACTCATTATAAATTTTGTTCCATCTTATTGTAGGAGTTGATTTTCAAACTGGAAGGTTTCAGACCATTTGGATGGTACCTAACTTTGGTTCAGTTTGCATACTACACTCTCTTTGGAGTGGCAGAATTACAGCTCAGAGATGATAAAACGCGCAAGTTAGCCAATTTTCTTCCATTTTAATATACAATTAAATAATAAATATGGAATAGATTATCATTAAAATTAAAGTCACCATTTATTTCAAAATCAGAACCAGGCAGGATATTTAAAAATCATTTTGCACCATTGGAATTGGTGTCAAAAAACAATTATTAGTGGTTACACTAAGAGCTGTTCTGTTAGTGAGGTGTTCTTTTGAAAAAAATATACAGTATAACCTGGTTATGTTGACGCCCTCGAGGTTCCTCAAAAAGCGTCGAGATAACTAATCGAGATAACTGAAAACCAATATGGCGACAATATATTAACATGTGCTTGAAATTTCTTTATGTACATGATGTGCGTTAATAAATGCAGGTACTTCAGTAAAATAAAAATATAGTCATTTAGAGCATATTTCAAATTAAAAAAATGAAACCAGAATCAACTTTTTAACTTGAGTAACTTTTGAGCTATGAATTTTTAAAGTGCGAGTTTGTTTGGTATTTTCTAACTACTATGGATAAAGCCTCCACATTTTGTGACCTCATTGACTATATAGTTTATATAAAGCAATGCATCCCCTTATTACTAAAATACTATTTAGGGACTTCTTATTTTAAAATTTCAACTTTGGCACATAACTATTTAATTAAAGCTTTCCCTTACCAATGGTTTAATAGCTTTTGCACACGGCCAACTCTTTTGAATGAAACTCTGACATAGTACCCCGGCAAAGCCATTATGCAAGTGACCGTGAATGGCTGCCTATGACAACGTTTTGCACGCAGCAAATTATGATAATTTATAATATGGACTCTACAGGGGTTTTAAACCTTGAATTAAAACATATTTATTTAAATTAATTCTAGATTCATTCTAAAACACAAGTCCTGTATTTTGAGAAATAAATAATTATTTTTAATTATGAAAAACCTCGTTTATTTGTTGTTTGCTATTTCTTCTTGCGGAGTTCAAAAGCGTACGATTGGTCATGGGGATACAGAAAACTGAGGTTAAGTGGCAAAGTTGGCCGCCTTTTGTGCTCGAGATATCAGGGTTCGGTTACATAAAAAAATCGACGTAACCGAGGAGAAAATGTTAAGACAAAGAGAGAATTCTGCAGTTCCACTTCAAAAACGTCGACATAACAGGGTTTGCGAGTTAACCGAGGTTGAAAATAAGTGGGTTCGACTGTATTATCGGGATCCAAGTTTTTATTATATTTCTTGTTATTGTGTCATTCATTTATGATTATGTCTGGATATATATTAGCTGTACTTGATCTTCTGATAAATTAAAAAACATTTATTAAAAAAAACTGGTTTCAGCTCACGACAAACCAGGATAAAGCTAAAAAACTAGTACTGTCCTGGTAAAAAATCAGTTAAAACTAATGTATTAATTATTACTCTTCAGGATTCCTATGAAGATGTATCTTCTACTTGCCTTTTTAACTGTTTCAACAATGGGGTTATCAAATACAGCTGTAGGATACTTAAACTATCCCACACAAGTGATCTTCAAATGCTGCAAACTCATACCCGTCTTAGTGGGTGGGATTCTTATACAGAGTAAATTCTTATTTATACTCATTATAGAACATATATAGTTATATAGACTAAAACACACATTTTTCGTGTCTATTTAATTAATCTTATTTATGCTCAATGACAATGTATTAAATAAATATTTAAAAAAATTAAAATGGAGTTGTTTTTTTAATGTACCGGATAATAACTTGTACTATCCATTCAAAATTAAATAAACTTATTTTTGTAATTAATAGTTGTGATTGGAATTTCATACTGTCTCAAAAATTTCTGATAGGTAAAAGATTTAGCTTGATAGACATTACAGCTTGTATATGTATGAGTGTGGGACTGATCTTATTTACCCTAGCTGACAATGCTGTATCACCCAACTTCAACACCTATGGTAAGATGTTATTACCAAAAATGAGTACCGGTAATGGATTATCCTTTCTTGAAGGCTAAATTAACAAATATTAAAATAATTTCGATTTTAAAAGAATGTTGCTCTACTTAAACTTTAATAAATCTGTTTAAAGTTTGGACACATTTTTAACTTTGTTTATATTTCTTTTAAGGGATTGTACTAATCTCTGTTGCTCTGTGTGCTGATGGTGCTATAGGAAATGTACAGGAAAAGACTTTGAAGCAATATGGTGCAAGTAATGGAGAAATGGTACTGGTATAAATAAAAATAAAGGAAATTGGTGATATATTAAAATTAAAAAGTAGTTTCGTCTTTTTGTTTAACAGCAAATTATTCCAAGCTACTTTGTTTTCATTTTATAAATATTGACCTACACAAAAATTTTGAATAATAATTGGTGAGTAGTAAGATTTTATAAAAAAAATACTATTTTATTTTTCTAATGTACTGGTAGTTGGTTCAATGATTGGTGTGATAAACTTAGTTAACTTAAGGCTGCATTTATTGTGTCGGTAAAGTCAGCTAATCATTAACCTACATTTACAGTGGCTGCAATCTTGACCTTGCTTTGAAATAGCTTTTTTAGAATTCAATCTATTTTGAAAGTGTATTAAATTCATCTCTAAAACTGCAGCACAATAAGAGCAATATATATATTCTTAGTTTATCTGTGTATATACATTACTTTATATAGGTTCTATATTCCTACGGCATTGGTTTCATCTATATTCTGGCTGGATTGGTCGCATCGAATAATCTTTTACCTGCCTTTTCCTTTTGTCAACAGGTACAAATATTTCAATTGTAAATTACCTTAACAAAATCTAAAGTTAAGTTTTTATATTGTTCATTTAAAAAAAAGTCTATTCACCCCTTCGACAGCTTCGCTCCTCCGCTGACATGCGTATTCTTTCTGTCCCCAAGACTTGCACAAAAACATATGGTGAACGAGCTTTCACTTTCTGTGCCCCCAAACAATGGAATTCTCTTCCATTACACACCTTCAATATACCAACCATTACAAATGCACTCAAAACACATCTCTTTAAACTCTACTATCCCAACTGATTCCCCCCTGACCGATTAACGATGCTGTTGTCCAAGGCTTGACACGTAAATAGTTCTGGATTGGGTGGAGTGAATATACATATCTTTTGTTTAATTTAATTAATGTGTTAATTAATTTTTTTAATTCATGATTATGTTTGTTAAATTGTATGTACAGTGTGGTGAACCCAGCCTAGGGCTGGGGTACCACGCTATATAAAACCACTAATACTACTAATAATAATAATTTAAAAACTGTAACTATTGTTCCAAAGTACTGTATATATATAGATATTTCCTTATTTGTTAAGCTTATAAACCATTTTTTTTCTGTACAAGCTTTAACTTTAATGACCCATTTTTTATTTTTCAGTATCCTATTGAAACATATGGCTATGCTGTGATATTTTCTGTGACAGGTTATCTTGGTTTATATATTGTTCTAACATTGGTAACATCTTTTGGTGCTTTAATAGCTGTTACAGGTAAGAAGAAAAAAAAAAATCAATTCTTTTGACAATACAGTGGAACCTCTCATAAGAGTTTAATTCGTTCCAGACTCTTACTCGTTAAGCGATACACTCGTCAAACGAAACAATTTTTTCCTTACAAATCAATGTAAAATAGCTGCAAGAATATATGTTTTCAGTTAGTCTAAGGCGACCCCTGGGAAAGGGCCACGCTACCCCCAAAGGGGTCACGACCCACAGATTGAGAACCCCTGGACTAATAGATCGGCGAGGGAGCCCCAGCTCACAAATGAATGTCAGGAAAAATGGACTTCCCCTTTTTGCGTAACTCGTTATGTGAAATATCGCTCGTTAAGGGAGCAACTTCTTCACATTTTTTTTGCTCGTTATGCGAATTACTCGTTATAAGAGGTGCTCGTTATGAGAGGTTCCACGGTAAATTCTTTTAAAAAAGAATATTTTAGTTGAGAAAACTTTTGTCATGTTATTCAACAGAAAACAAATTTTAACAGGAAATATACTTTTTGAAATCAAGTTACAATACATGATCACTTTAGTTGGTTTTAAGTTCTGATGTTCTTACATGGAGGTGGTTGAAATATAGCACACTTTAAAGTATTAAAGTACAGGTACAATGTTTAAAGAAAATATTGTTCAAAAAACGTATTACTGCTACCAGTATAACAAACTGAAATTACTAACTATTTAGAACCAAAATTTTCAAATGAATAATTAAATTTAAAGAATATTTATTTATGGCTTCAACAAGACAAGAATTTAATCAGTTATTACAAAGCATTTTTTGTAGTTGAAGTTTTGGCATCAATGTAAGTTTTTAAATTTCCATCTTTTAATATGTAATAACTAAAGGTAAATCTGTGTTTTTTTTTCAGTTACAACATGTAGAAAGGCAGTAACTATTGTGTTATCATTTATTTTTTTCACCAAGCCTTTCACACATCAGTATGTATTGACATTTAACATTAATAGATTCCCATTTTTTATTATTGGAAACATGAGTAAATGTTTGCTGCCTGTTTAATTTGAAAAAGATTGATATTTAAAAAATAAAGTTGATTCCTACTGAATTAAAAGTAAATCATTAATGTTTATGTGTTAATGTTAAAGTAGAGTGAATAATTTTATCAGTGTTTTTTTTTTTGTTGTTTTTTTTTTCATTAGATATCTGTGGTCAGGGTTGGTGGTAGTACTTGGCATTTATCTGAATCTCTACAGCAAGAATAAAACTAACTGGGATGCTAAGATAGTCCACCTGTTACAGAAGCTTGGTCTATCCAATAGGAGAAAAATACTAGAACCAGAAAATATTGTTTGAGTTATTTACATAATTTTATGTGATTAATATTATTAATAATGTTTTCTTTGGTCAAACCTGCTGATCTGAGTTTTTTTTTTAAACCATTGACTTAGCTTTTAGAATAGGGGTCTCAAACTCAAATCATCCGGGGGCCGCAGGAGGTAGAGTCGGAGTGAGACTAGGCCGCATCAAGTTAAAAAAAAAAAGCGAATTCAAATTCAATAAAGTACAACTGGTACAATTGGCTCAATCTTTATTAATAACAAAATAAAACATCAAGGGTTCTCAAGAACTAGGTTTCACTTTCTTACTCCTACTCCTTGTTGCCAGAGATCTGGCAGCGCTTCTTACACAGCTGAGCAATGCAACTGAGACCCTCAGTATATCTTGAAAATGCTCATCAATAAGTTTGGCCCTGAACTTTGACTTGTTAAAGTTCATAGTGGAAAAGAGCTTTTCACAAAGATAGGTGCTCCCAAAAAAGGCACATGATCCGCTTTAACAACCTGGAAATCTCAAGGCACGTGTAGAGCAATGCTCTCATAAATTATCCATACTTGTATTTAAAAGTGTTTTTCCACTCACCTCCCTGAACTTAGAAATGCACTGAAGATCAATTAGTTCCATTTGAAGAGGGGGGGGGGGGTTGCTGCATCTTCCTAATTGAAGGAGAAATGGTCAGCAAAAAGTTGAAAAGTTGCTCTGTCTGTTTTGAAGTTGAAGTCTAAAAATATGTGATCAAATTCTTCCTGAAGCTTTCCAATGGCATCAGTACACTTACTACTGAAGGGTGTGCCCGAGTCCACGAGTACTTTGTATATTGGGAAATGGCAGAGGTTGTTAAGAATCATAACACAAGTTTTGTGCAGAATGCCCTGACATTGTCATTGGCAACAGTGACAATATACCCATAGTTTTATAACTTCTTATCGAGTACATTCAGCCCCTGTGTAAAGCCAACAAGATTTTTTTATCGTAGAAAAGGCCTTTTTGATAACTCTATTTTGAAAGTGACCAAGCTGACAGTCTCCGAATTTCTCCAACTCGTAAACATTAGCGGTAAATGTAATAGGGATTCTTTAATAGTATTAATAATACTGTGTCAGATTGCTATGATTTACACAATTATGGTTGTGCATTACCCCACTAACTGACTTTTTAAACTTTTCTCAAAACCTCACTTTGGCCATGTTTGTCTCATAAAATGCTATGAAATAAAAACTTAGTACGGTTTTTACCATTATAATCAATTTCCAAATCTAAACGGGCCGCAAAATATCATCTTGTGGGCGCAAATGGCCGCCAGTTTGAGACCCTTGACTTGGAAGGATTTAACATATGTCCAACAGAGACATTTGTATACATTTGCTGAAAATCTTGAGTACTGGTACATAAAAATCATTAAGAAGTTAAACCCTATAATTTACTGAATTAACAACTTAAGGCTAGTTTTGGCCATTGTCAAGCCATAAAGAACTAGCCATTATATATGCTGCCATGCAAGTCCTTTGAACAAAAACAAAGATATAAAAAATATAAACTGGAATAATCAGCATCATCCTACATTGCTAAAATAAATTTAACATACCTTAACTCTTTATCTCCGTACCGTACTTAAAATGTCACCAACTTTATGATCTATATAATACAAGAATTGCATGGAAAGTCAACCAATCTCTGCAACATTTTCCAATGTTTCCATATTTTCTTTGTATAAATTACCTAACAATAGATTTTAATTCTACCTTAGTTAAAACATGTAGAAAAGTTATTTGCAGTGGCAAGTGGGATACATATGGTTATGTTTTATCATGGACTTGTTTTTTTTTTTGGTAATAAAATTTGTGAAATATTCTATTTTTTTAGTTATTTGTGTTATATGTTTAAGTTATATTAAGATATTTATTAAAAATACAATAAACAAATAAGGTAAAACAGATATCATGTAGTATGAAAGAAAATCAATGTATTCATCATCTTTTACTTTTTTTACACATTTCATTTCAAACAGGGTCATAAGAAATCTTCATAGCAAAATATTAAGAGTTTCATTTTCTTGTAAGAAAATCAGATATTGAAGGTTGAATTCGTTTGAGACTAGCAGTAGTAGCATCCTCAGTAGTAGTTTCCCTTTTCCTTTTGAAATTAGGTTTTTGAGGCTCGCAGTAATCTTCATAGCAAAACATTAAGCGAGTTTCATTTTCTTGTAAGAAAATCAGATATTGATGGTTGAATTCGTTTGAGACTAGTAGTAGTAGCATCCTCAATAGTAGTTTCCCTTTTCCTTTTGAAATTAGGTTTTTGAGGCTCGCAGGAATCTTTGTAGACCTTAAAAACCTTTCATCAGAATTACATAACTGTAAGTAATGGAATACTTTTGTTTCAATGCAATAATATTTTAAAAGGCAAAATCTTCTTTTAATGAGGAAAAGTGCTCATAACAAATTGGTCAATCATTAACATTTTGTATTGTGAATGGTGAAAAACCGATTAGATCAATTTCAGAAAAGTTTCCAAACATAATGATATCTAATGTCATTGATACCTTTCTCATTCCGGTGGACATTGCAGTCTCTTTAAGTTGGCTCTCTGTAAGCCATTTACTTAAAAAATTATCTTCCCTTGACAATACATTTTGATCCTTGGCCAAACTGGCTGCCCAAATTTTATAAAGATGGTGAACATGTGAAAATATATGAGTTATCTGGGGAAATTATAATTTATAGTGACAATAACAAGTTAGTACAATTACAATTTCTAAAATTTAAGTTTGTGTAGACTGTTATATTAGTTAAAAATTTAACCTGCAAAGCTGTCAACATTCTGATATAAAACCAATAATAAATACTCATATGTACATACAAAGGGTGAGGTTTTCCAAAAATGCAAGGGTTGTAAAATGACTTTTTTTGCATACATAATATATTGATAGCCCCATTTGAGAATTACATCTGCTAATACTACCATGGTTGTACTTATCAGATCAACACTCTCCAGATTTTATGTTGTATATGTTGTACATGTAAAACTAGTAAAAGTCACGGAGCAGAAAATATTTGATAAAAGTCATGATGGTGGATGTTGACTGTGTACACATTATTGAAACTGAAAGGTACCCAGTATATCAAAAACAAAAAGATTTGTATTCCTAGTTCTTCTTCTATATATTAAGGGCCCATGATCAACATATTGATCATTCTGGCTCCTATGTATGTAAAGGGGATTCGCAATGTTTCTATGCCTGGTGTTGAGGATATTTCACTAGTTGCAAGGGCTACTTAGTGAGGTTATCATGCCCTGGGGGTTGGAAGGCCTGAGGCAATAGACTCAAATGTGTCAAGTGTTGTTGCCTCAACTGTTCCTTTTGGAAGCTTGTTTCAGTCCCTGATTGCCTTTGGCAGGAATGAGCAGTTCCTATACTGGCTTCTCCAACCATTTAACCACTGCAGATCTTTGATCCCTTGAACTAGTGGCTCCTTCAAGCTATTTCTACCATTAAAATTTTTTTGCACAGCTTTTCTTTTAATGCATTATTTATTTAAATTACTTTCTACAGTTTGAAAACAGGAATTTAAATTGACTTTTGAATTATATTTTTTAAAACATTTAACAATATTTGTAAAAATCATTTTTATTAGGCCTATTTAATGGGTATATAATTTGTTCTTTAATAATAAAAAAAATAAATAAATTATATTACATCTAAGTAAAAGAGTAATCCATTGCATGTATTAGCAGGTATTGGGCAGATTACTTACAAAAACAATACCGGGTAGTTCATTTTGTTTGTAACTAAATACCATACAAGTTGCTAAATGTGACCAAACTTATTTCTTGCACATTCTACAAAGGGTGGACATGAGCTTAGAAAAAAAATTGGCAGATTTTTAAAATGTAAGTAAACTACCATTACCATGCAAAGCTGTACTGTTGATGAAAGCTCTAAACATGCAAAGCATTACTCTTTGTAAAGCATCAATTGCTAAACATTGAAACACATAATTAAAATTATGTACTTACTTGTGTAGAATGTTTTTCATTTTTCAAATCTAAATTAATAAGTCTACTGTCTCCTTAGTATATCAAAAATATTTTGTCTTAACAGTTTACATAACTTTTACTATTTACTATAAACAAAATTATTTTTAAGCACCATATTTCAGTTACAACATATTTCAATCAAGTTTGCAAAAACTATCACAATGTTAGTGAATTCAATAAAATTTGGAATGCCTAACTTTACATTGATATGTTGTGAAAATTATAATACTCAAGCAAGTCTGTACATATTTCTAACTTAAAAACAGTATAGGTAACTGATATTTGAACGAATAAGAACAAACCTCTCCAATTGATCTTAAACATCTGACACTGTCTTCATGAAAACCATATTGCCTACTGAGAGCTTCTGCCATTTTAATATTTCCAGTACTAGTAGGAAATTCCCAAAGTCCTGCCAACAGTCCTAAGTAGGGATGTCAAATTAAAGCAAATAAATTATTAAAAATTTATTTTTTCTTTAAAAATTAATCTGCCTTGAAATTTTATCTTAAACAAACACATCTGAAAAGGTAGATATACTCTGAGTTAGGAAATTACACTCTTTACTATTGTTTTGTTTCTTTTTGAACTATAACAGTTTTAAGAGTTACATTTCTGTTGCCGGGTATTCGATTTTTCTAAATTTATGGATTGATTTGTTTGTTAATGTTAAATAATACCTTTTGCTGGTCTTTGATGAATAAGAAATCTTGTTTCTTCCTTAATATCTTGATTACTGGCTAAAGTCAGTATAAGAACATTTATTTCTTCCTTTTTAGGGGCTGCCTTCTTTGGTTTGCGGGGAAAATTAAGAACACCTAATCTGCAAAAAATGTTTAAAAGTGTTACATTTTTTAACATTATCATTAGAGCTTACAAGACAAATTATATATCTCTGCCCCTGGTTACCAATCCAAAGGTCAGGACCCCAAATATAAATATATTTATAGACAATTAATTATAAAGTATAGTGTAATTAAATGTTATGTTTTTATTCATACATGTGAAATAAGAGCCTAGATAAGTGCTAAATTTTTAGGACTTCAATACAGTACAAACAAGTAATCAAGTATGTTAAATAAAGAAAACTAACTCTTTATCCCACGGCTGGTCAGAAGGGAGGCACAAATTACAGTCAGGTATCACTAATTGAAGAGAAACAAGTTTTGCAACCTTAACATAAAGCATACTTATACCAATAGGTTTATCTATTATTATATTACTATTATAAACACCAAAATTAATTTGAATAGTTTAAAATAAACTACTTTGTAAAACTTTTGTGTAAACTGTTGAAAATCAACAAATTGTAACAAAAGCAATAAAATATCTGAACTGGGCTCACAGCATTCAATATCTATGAGATCATTTCTGGTGTCAATACTTGGAGGTTTACAAACTTTTTTGGTGGACCTTTCTTTGGATCTTTCAATCTGTTAGGAGATAAAATTTATGATGATTGTTTGAATGTTAGCTGAAAATAATTTTGACCTGTAATTTCTACTGCACGATCAATACAACCCCAACTTAAAATTAAGGAAAACAATTATTAAAAAATGTATCTGTTTAGCATATTGTTTTTTCATATCCGTCTCTCCATATACATACTAGACATTTATGAGACTGAACTCTTTGCGTATGTGTATAATAATATAAATAAATAATAATGTGCCAAATATTACAGTAGTGAAACTCTGGCATCTTCTTGTGCAATGGGCCATCATATAAATAGACAGCTATATCAACACCCAATCAGCGATATCAACACCCAGTCAGCGGTATCAATAACCTAACCCCGAGTGGAAAAGATTTTTTTTTTAAAAGGTAGCTATGCTTCTGTCAGGAAGATACAAAGTTGTAGAACTAAAAAATAATAGTGGTGAGCAATAAAAATTTCCCTCCCCTACCATTGCTTTTAAAAAAAAAATGAACATAAGTTTCCTAAATAAGAGACTGCCAGTAAATGTCCCCACACACCAAAATCTTCAAAACGCCTCATGCTGCATTACCCATGCTGTGGTAAATCAACACGTTAATAGATTAGGAAAATGACAATGTCTTTGAAATTCTTGGCCAAATAGCAGATGAAGAGAATATTGTGGTCATGGGTGACAAACAGATGGGTAGAGAGACAAAGAGACCCTTGGAAATCACACCCAGGCACCCACAGTGACACTTACAAAGCTATTATAATGGTCACCACCTTCTAAGCCCCTGAGCAGAATATGAACTTGTTTTAGCAAATACCCTCTTTCAACACCAAATGGGGAAACAATGACAATCAAGGGGGAAAATGTACTTTATAATGTGTGGGTGAAAAAAAAAATTTGAAATCTCAGACTGAAGAAAATGAACTGCAGACTTGTCAGAAAAATTAGCAGTAAGTGGTGAAAAATGCCAAGGATGCATCATGAAATATTTACAGAGAGGAGTTGAGCAGTCCTCAAGAGAGTCTGAGTATGGGTATTCACTAGTATTATTGTGTGTGGTGTGTCTTATGTAGTACCGGGTAGTTAAGTTAATGAATGCTTTTCCCAACTTTAGGGCTTGTAATGTATTTTATGTGACGTTGTGTTTATCTTTGGTGTACATGAATTTTTGTTGGGCAGTCAATCAATAAGAGAACTTTGTATTCTTCTACTTTTAGTAATAGCAAACTGCGTTCTACATGTGTTTGATTCATTGTACAGCCTGATATATATGTTTCTGGATTAAAGTTTACATTGCTAATGTAAAATGGCTTGTTTTGAATTCTGTGTGATTACGATGTATAAACATATAAACGTGTAAAAGAATTTGATGGAAGAAAACAATCACCTACAGCTCGTGACAAAAGTCCAATAAAAGAGTCAAAACCATTTTACTCAGGGATGAGCCTTTCAACCCCACCTCTGTGATAAATGAACTAAACAGCAATCCCATCTTTTATGAAACTAAAGTCAAACAGAAATGGGTGGATCATTTAAAGAGCTGCTTGAAAAAGATGTCTGTGATGCGGTAAGGACCTGTCCAAAGAACAAGGCTGTTGATGTAGATGGAATTGCCATAGAAACCATAACTGCAAGCGGAGAGCTCAGTATTAAATGGCTCAAAATCATCTTTCAACAAGTGTGGAAAGAAAGAAACAACCCAGAAGACAGGCAGAGAGTGGTCCCTACGTGGAAGAAGAAATGTAACAAAAAAAAGACTGCTGCACATACAGAGGCATCTCTATCCTCAGCAACCCTGGTAAAATATTTAAGCAGTTTTTGGAGATGCTGACACAAGCTATAGTTGACCAATTTCTTAGGAATGGAATTTTGGCTTTAATTACTTTAAAAAAGGAAATCTTAGCACTCCACTAAATGTGTGAAAAAGCTTGATGGGTTGACAGAAATTAGCTCTGGGGGTGCTGGAAATGTACAGAGTAAAAGAACAGCTCCTCGATAACATCAAGGCGACTTTACAAGAAGTCTCAGTCTGAGTGGTTTGAAGTAAAATCTGGAGTCAGACAGGGCTGCATTATATTGCCATTGCAGCTCATGATATACATGGACAAAATTACAAAGGATGCCAATCTAAATCCTGAGACAGTCAATGAATTGCTATTTGCAGATGACCCATGCATTCTGAATATAACAAGACACAATTGCAGAGCAATGTTGATATCCTGAACATTGTTTTCTTAATGGCATGAAAATAAGCAAAAACTAAGATCAAGGTCCCAGAACAAGTGAATAAAATATCAAAAGTCAGCTTCTCAGTCTAAACCGGGAGTTTAAGTTTAAATATCTGGGAAGCATTTTCACAGAGGATGGAAAAATGGATAAGAGATACAGACAATATTCAGTCAGCCACCTAGACACCCAAGAACATAGACTGAGACCAAAGCCAGGCAAATTAATGCTGCCTTTATTTCAACCCTTAATGCAAAATCTGGGCTCTAAATAAGTTAAGAGAGAAAAATATTCACCAGCGATATGAGATGTTTAAGGCGAGTAGTTTGTAAAACAAGAAGGGATCACATTCTGAACCCAGGAAATAAGACATACCAATCAGCCAGTTCATGGTACAACAAAATAATTGGTTTAGCCACTTGGTCAGAATGCCTATCAACCTACCTGAATAGCAGGCATATAAAAGCAGGCAATCCCGTTTCAGGGCCAGAGGAAGAACATGCAGTCAGTGGATTAACACCCTAAAATCCACAAAATGAAACGCCAGCAGGCTTCACAATTTGGGGCAATTGTCAACTAAAGCTCCCGCGACGCCTCCCCAGTAAAAGTGGACGGAAGAATAATAATTGTGTGTATGTCAGTTTCTTTCAAAAGAAGTACACTCACAATAGACAAAATATTATTTTTTCCTCTTTTCCTTTCAGTACAAGTACTGCTTCTTTAATAAATAATATATATGGCATTCTTCCATCTTCGCGAGTAGCTATGGACACTTCATCAACTGGCTTACTAGGCTGATCCTGCAATGGCCTAACCAGCGAAAGCGCTTCTTGCTAAGAGTGGAGAATATGTTACACATTTTTGCATGGTCCAAACCCTCTGTTAGGCACATGGTCATGTCACCAAATGCGAAAAATACAGCGCAGAAGCTGTTGAGTTTCTGCTCATGAATGGCATATGTGGTCCACACTTCACTGCCATTTAGGAGCATATGAAGCACACACGCCTCATAGATGCTTAGTTTGTACTATCAGTTAGTTTAATAAGATTATTCCATACCAGTTTATTTAATTTAGCAATAGTTGGTGCTGCTTTTGCAATCCTGTTGTTCGTTAACAGAGAATGAACTAGAGATATTGGATTCAACGTATGTGAAATACCCAACTACCGACAGATTACGACCCTCAATAAATATATTTGGAGGGGACATGCTTCTTGCATCATGACATTTGTTTTATGTACATTACTTGACAGTCCAAACTCTTTACATGTCTGTGAGAGCCACTAAAAGACCTTCGTCTGTGTGCTATGCTAAGGCATTGTCTGTGAACAGCAGTTCATGAGTTGGTACCTTTATTAAATTGGTCTTTACATGAATGGGGGCGATATCGAACAGCCTACCAGAAGATCTGGTATGGATGTACACGCCGTCTTCACAGTCCCTGAAGAACCATCGAGAAGAAAGGAGAAGAGCATTGGTGCCAATACACAGCCTTGTTTTACTCCACTGCTAACTGGCAATGGCTCATAGACAGCACCATTGAAGGTTACTGTGCAGTGCATGTTTTCGTGTAATGGCTACATGCTTGTGAGCAATTGTGGGGGACAAACTATTTTCAATGCAAGATACTGAACAGGCTACTCCAACTTATGAAATCAAATGGTAACACAATCCAAAACTGTGCTGCCTAGGTTCATCTGCGGGCTTCCCCTGCTGGCTTCCTTGATGGTACTACTATCCATTAGTTGGGTCTCTTGGAGATAGGCAATGTCATTGTTGAGTCTGGTGATTTCCTTGTCAATAACAGCAGTCTTTCTCGTGTCATCAATTAGTTGTAGGTCGATGTCAAATCCAAGACACATGTTTCTTACATTTAATGTTGCAAAGCAAAGTGATGGAGTCTTCCTTCTACATATGCTTTACAAAAAAAAACTCTGCTCCCGTGAAGTGCTGTCACCAGTGAAGCTATTTAGCCTGCGCTGTGTTTTATATCCATCTCCGGTTTTTCAGTTTCCCACATTGATTTTATATACTTATATCAATATTCATACACACTTTTCCGTTTTTCATCAATGTCAAGTTAGAATTAAGTGAGATGGCCATTTTTTCCTCTATGTGTTGCATGCATTTTATAATAAATTCAGAAAACTCTCTGTTCTTAATTAAACAGACAGAACTAGTGAAACTTATGACATTCATTATTAGCTAAATAATGTGATAATTTATGTAATTTTAACAAAATAATATAAAATTAGAATGCAATGTAAGTAAATTGTATCAATATTTAAGGGGTTACCATTGAATAAGCTCTACACATATTTTTCACTGGGCATTGTCCACAAGAAGGCGTTTTAGGGGTGCAAACAACTGCTCCTAGCTCCATTAACGATTGATTAAAATCTCCTGGTCGCACTGAATCAACAATCTGATTAGCAAGAGACCTAAAGATTTTAACATAATAAACAGTCCTTTAATAATTATGCACTATTAAATTGATAGTTTTTTTTTAAAATTAATGTTCAAATGATAAAGGTTTTTTATTTCATGATTCTATTTATTCACAAACAAAATTTTGTTGAATTTATTTTATTATGTGAAAGCAATCACATACCAAAATGTTTCCATAACATCTGGTTGAGTTGTCAATGCCCCTATCATTCTTAAACGGGACAAAACACGCACCACATTACCATCCACGAGTCCAGTCACCTAAATGTAGAAAGTTTTAAATGTATTTCTATGTGTTCAGATTTTTACAATTACATCATCAGATCTACAGGGAAAGGGACTTTTTGGGATACACTAAAAAATTACTTTTAACCCTCTTATGCCAAAAAAAGACAAAAAGCTATTTCATTGGCCCAATAATAAAAGCCTTGAGATTGGTTGGCTGGTCTTTGTTCAAGCTAATCAGATTGCTTCTCACATTTCTTGCTTACCTCACCATTTTAATAGCTGCTTTCAATGATATTTAATGGTTTTCAGTCATTTTATATGAATTTATTTTATTAGCTAGTGACTCTTATAATTGCTAAAAAATATGAACTTGAAATATGCCAACAGCCACAAGCAGCCCCAGGAGAATATTTTATGCAGATTTTCACATTAAATCTCATTCAAATTTTTGTTAAGACTTCTTTAGGCTTGCTTCAACAATCATAAAATTTACTAAAATTCTGCAAGTAAGACAATTTCATTTCCAAGTAATTAAAATAAATTGAAAGCACAAACTATGCAAATAAGGATATCTCATTTTCATAGCTGTTGAGATTTCAGTTTGATTCATAAAGATCTTATAGTTAATTCAATTCCATACACAACCCCCCATACACAATATAATATATAGTTTTATATTTGTAAAGTAAATTTTTTTTTTTCAATTTTTTTGCAGGGCTTCTGAAAAGTGCTGTATCTGTCCAAAAAGGCTCCATCTCAAGAGGATTACAATCCATTTTTCATGTGAAAAATTTCCTTTTTTACAAATCTCTAATATATATTTTGCTTGCGTTGGGCACATGTTTTATTTATATTAATAGTACTGAGTTGAAAAAAAAAGGCTGTCAGGTAAAAAAAAAATACTTTTGGGGGAGTTGCTGTATTAATCAATAATGAGACACAGATATTGTCTGGAGGGTTGTCTGTAGGCCTATTGTTTAAAGGCCAGCAGGTAGGGTGTAGGACTGTCGGTAGGCCTATTTCTCAAAATACCCAGACCCAGTATAAAAAACACTGCACCCAGTTAAGCCCTAATAAAGAAATATTTTAGCTCAGAATAATTGTTTTATTAAACCAAAAATAAATCACTATTATTTGTATGTTTTTGTTGGGTTGCCTCTTCAAGGGTTGCACTTTGAAATCACATACAATCTAACAATTAAAGTACAAAGGAAGGGAAGAATAGAAAGTATCTTTTGAGAAGATCTGGAAATGGAAGGGAGAAAGGGAAGTTCAAATTTGTTAAAGGTCAAGCATATAAATATTACAGATACATGGACAGAAAATATACAGGGCAGTCAGTAAGGGAGTAGGGTGATGAATAAATTGACATGTAGATGAGGGCTTCAAACTTTTACTGAGTAAAATATTTGAATATTGCTGTTATAGCATTTGTGTTGACCTAATTTTACTTCAAAGTAGCATTGTGGCGACCACAACTTGTAATCCCCCTTTTTTTTATATTGACGTCAATGATTATATGTGTACCAACCTTTCTCCTCCCTTGATTGGGAAAAGATTGTTATATCTGTTCTAAAGAATGCTATCGGATGAAGCAAATTTCTAGAATTCATTTTATTATTATTATAATTAGTGGGGGTTTTATATAGCGCAATACCTACTCCAGCTTAGGGCTGGACTCACTACACTGTAAATACAATTTAACAAACATAATCATGAACTTAAAAATTAACATACATTAATTAAATAAAACAAAACAAATATATATTCACTCAACACATTCAAGCCATGGACGGCTACCCAGCAGCATGGTTTATCGGTCAGAGGGGGGAATCAGTCAGGATAGTAGAGTTTAAAGAGATGTATCTTGAGTGCAGTTTCGAAGGGTGTGATGTTCGGTATATAACGAATGTGTAATGGAAGAGAATTCCATTGTTTTGGGGCAGAGAAAGAGAACGGTCGTTCACCATATGTTTTTGTGCGAGTCTTGGGGACAGAAAGAATACGCTCGTCTGCGAGGAGCGAAGCTGTCGGAGGGGTGACTAGACAGAGAGAAGTTCGGTTAGATAGGAAGGGGAGGAATTCAAGAAAAAGTTGTGGCAGAGAACAGAGAGTTTGTAGTCAATCCGTGCTTGTACAGGGAGCCAGCCAAAGAAGTAAATGAAGTAGTGTTGTGACGTGATCACGTTTTTTTGCCTTTAGAATTAGCCTAGCAGATGAGTTTGAAACCTTTTGAAATTTTTCTCAGAAGTGTTTTGGTGAACCTGATTGAAGGGAGTTACAATGATCAAGAAGAGAGAGAACTAGAGCACAGACTAGGGTTTTTGTTGCGCTAACTATAAGTTAATGGCGGATGGAGCTGATTTGACGAATAGGGGTGTATGCAGAGCGACAAATGTGAGAGATATGATTATCAAGAGACATGTTAGACAGAATATAACCAAGATGCCTAGCTGAGAATGTAAACTGTATGTCGGAGTTACCTACATGAAATGAAGTGGGGAGAGCTGAGTTATAGGATGATTTGTCATCGTGAATAAGGAGTGCTTCCGTTTTGTCATCGTTAAACTTCAACTTGCTGAGTGTCATCCATGTCTTGACATGATAAATGCTCTCCCGCAAAGTCCGGACAGCAGATCCAAAAGAGAGGGATAGGTATGCTTGTATAGCTGCGTGTCATCTGCAAATGACTGGTTCTCCACAGCAAGCCTGCCGAGCAAGAGGAGCAGTGGCCTGGTATACATTGTGAATAGAACCGGGCCCAAAACGGACCCCTGTGGCACTCCTGACACCAATTCAGCAATGCCAGAGAGACAGCCATCGACAGTGACCACCTCCGTTTTATCGGAGAGGTAGGACCTAAACCAAACCAAAACTGATCCAGAAATTCCAAAGTAATTTTCAAGGTTTTTGTAAAGAGTTTCATGGTCAATAGTGTCAAAGGCCACACTGAGGTCTAAGAGGATCAGGATGGAGATATCACCACTGTCCTATGTGAGCAAGAGGTTATTGGTGACTCTCAAGAGAGTTTTTCTCAATGCTATGGAAAGGTCTATAGGCCGACAGATTAGGACTGAGAAGAGAATGGTAGTTTAAGTAAGCAAAAAGCTTTCAATGACTTTAGATAAGTATGATAAGTTAGATACAGGTCAATAGCTTTTTAAATTATTTTTATCCAGACCAGGCTTCTTAAATAATGGTTTGATGACAGCTGACTTACAAATATAGGGAACAGTGCCAGAAGACAAGCTTTCAGTGACTATATGGGTTATCGTTGGGAGCATTTATGAGACTGTACTTGTTGTGTGTGTATATCAATATTTGTATCTTTCAAGGATTATACTTTTTCACTTGCTGTGCTATAGGTTAAAATAGTTTTTATTTCTATTTGATTTTGTATTTTTATATAAGCTTTATAGTATATTTAATTTAAACATTGTTATTATCAATGATTTTGGTATCGTTTTTCTTTATATACTGGTTTTCAGTTCTTTGTAACAGTATTGTCCAACAAATGAGCCAAAACTTAAAACAGCTTAAATGTACAAAAACCATATAATGGTATGTAAAAATTTGCATGCTTGGCAATAGTAACACTTTTAAAATCTTATTAAAAAAATTAATGATCTCCATGTTGCATTTAAATTTGTGTCAGAAAATCTATTTAACCCTGTTTAAGACTCTTATTTACGGTACCAGTTATAATATTTGTAACAATTTACAACTAAAAGAAGTGTTGTTACCCCTTTTTTTTTAATCAAGACAATAATGGGGTTCTTTTATCTTTTCATTTACCTTTAATTATTTTAATGCCTTTAAATATCCAAAATCAAATTGGTCTGACAGATTAAATAGAATTACCTCTCCCAAAGCAATTGAGGCTATTGCTCCTGCAGTGTAACGTCCAACACCTGGTAGCTTTTTTTCTAACTCAACTGCTGTGTTAGGCATCTGTCCTGACATTTCTTTTACAACCTGAGTGAGACAAGTATCAAACTGAAAATTAATAACAAAACAATATGTTTTAATGTAATGAAGAAAACCCACAGAAAAGACGTTCATTTTTGTGAACCAATAAAAACTTACATTAAATTTTCATGACCAACCTAGCTGCACCGCAAAATCCTGATTCATTTTATTTGTATAACTCATATAAGGAAAAATACTAATGTGGATCTCCGGGTCAAGGTATTTCCGAAATGCATTTGTTCCACCCTAAACAATCTCAGGAAGAATACATCTATCAAAAAACATTTCACTAATCCTTCATAGTTACGAACATTTCACTACAATGACACACAACATCCAATTACCAGACCTGGTTACAGACCTGTTTACCCTCAAACTCTTAAAATCGTACAATATGATCACAAAAGCGTTCAATACATTATCTTAATAGTAAAAAAACAAACATAGAGTATATAAAATGTATACACCTCAAAATCGTACATTGTACGCCAAAATCGTAAGAGTAAACAGGTCTGTGGTTACACTAAAACTCCTAATATAGTATAATATAGTCTCAGAATAGTACTTTTACCATCTCAAAATCTTAAAATACCGTATTGTAATAGTAAACATACAGTATAATGTATACAATAACTATTCGCATCCCATGTCTAATAAAGGTCACTTCTCAAAGTAGATGACTGACGTTTATATATTTATATTCAGTGCATTATTGAAAATAAAAATGTGCCTGTCATTTGCCACTTTTATAGACAAAGATGTGGTGGGGGAGTGGAAATTGAGGAGGCCGGCCGCAGTCATCTGCTTGTGCAGGTGCAAGTGGGGTTTGGGGAGGAGGCTGAGTCCCCCTGCCTAGAATTTTTTTTAGAAATGCAAAACGCTGGGATGCACTTTTACGTATACCTGAATTAGTTTTGCATCATTCTAGACTTAATCATAATGCTTGCAAAAAATTTGGTTCCCCTTACCTAGCTTTGTTTACATAAATCCTTTTTATTTTATAGTTATTGATTAGTAAATTTTAAAAGAATTTATTACTTTTTTCAATTTATTTTCAATCTATCAGTCCGAAATGGGGGTGGGTGCATCGAAATGGTGCATAGTGTCTACAAAAATGAGGTATATATATAACAAAATGTATGCTTATGCCACAAATTAAAATAATTGCTATTTGAATGAAGAAATAAGTTCATTTATGATACATCCGGCAGGCCACAACATTTAATGTGGCAGGCTGCCCACCCTTACATTAAGCCTAGGAGACTGATTTTATTTTCTGTTAAAACATTGTGGTCTACTGCAAGCTGTATTGAGAGAAGGGAAATGATGGAACAAAACTGAGGTATTAAAATTGTACAGCTGCTTAGTGACTTGTAAAAATAGATTTAAAATACTGCTTACTAGATCTTATAGAATATGTCAAAATCTAATGCTGCTGTGCGGAGCAGTTGAGAATATATTTTTAAAATATGTAGTCTTGAAAAAGGAGTGCTAATGATAACATTAAAATCATCCATGCATGTGCACAAGAATCAATGTAGCCAAATTTGAATGCCAGAGTTGATTGAACAATGGGACATACATATACAATGTAAACAAAAAAAAAACATACCAGTATTTTCATACCCACACCCTGTCAATGTAAGGGGCAGTCCATATCTTACATATACAATGAGGCTTTGTATGAGAGCAAGGAAGGGGTGGTGGGGTGAGGAGTCCACCAGATGTACCTACATTTATGCATAATTTATACAATATTTATCCTGACAGTCTCCAGAAGAGCTGTCACCTAAAAATCTGTTAAAATCCATGATTTTTATTAGGCCTATGAAGGTTATAAAAATATCACCTTGTTTTGCAGTTATCAGCATACAGATGCTTCATGTTTTCATAAATAGTTCATGTCGCTATAGTAATATTTAGCCTATTGACAAGACACTGTAGTCTTTACGTGCTAGGGACGTTATTATTTCGTTCGGCGACCAACCTCCCCCATCCTCATTTGTGGGGGAAAAACAATATTTTTTGTGTCTCTTAAAATAGTACTTGTGACAGGTCTCAGCATAGAATAGTAAAATACATCTCAAAATCGTACATTGTACGCCAAAATCATAAGAGTAAACAGGTCTGAATCACGACAATAAGGATATAGTTGTATAAAAGTGAAATTATACCTTCTGTGCTCCTTCCAAAAGCCTTCTCCCTCTAGAATAATATCCCAGACCTGACCATGCTTTATTTACTTCCTGAAGAAAATTTTTTTATGATAATATCAGATTTAATAATGCATGATAACCACTTAATGTTTCTTTATGCTGTCGAGCATGGATATTGTCTTGCATTTGTTGTGCACCGAATGATGTGTTTTATTGTGCAGTCTTGTGTGCGACAGTTTGGTTAATGAATGCTTTGGCACCATGAGACTTGTGATGTATGGTGACGTGATTTTTATGTATCCGTTACGTAGTGTCTTGGAGTATGTGCTAATCATTTGGCAGCTGGAGTCTGAGGGATGATAGAGAAGCCTAGATTAACCCTTTGACCCCCGCAATTCCGCTTTATCGATCTGTGTCTTAAAAATTCACAGCCCGCCAGACCGATATTTTGGTCTCCCATACCTTACCCTAGATCGACAGCCTGTATATAAAATGTGTTGTAAATACTGAGTTCAGGGTTTATCACGTGACTTGTGAAAAGTCACAGTAATGGCAGCGCCCATGGATGCATTGTTTTTGTAATGTTTTTCAATGTATAGAGGTGACAAAAATTGCTATTCTAATTTACTCAAACCAGAGAGGTTATGATGATGCAAATGATTCAAAGGATTATTATCGTGTTTTGATAAAGGATTGAAATAAAGGAAATAGACAATGATAGTGACAATCCATTGACTTCAACTTCTAGTGCAATTGATGTGTGAGTGTGCTTTGGGAATAAACTGAACAACACAAGATCTACCCCTAGTCCTAGCTCTGGCTTTTATGAAAAATCAGGGTCCTATAAATGAGCTTTTTCTAAGCTATTTTACACCATTCCTAGACAATTTTCTCCTTGTGATAAATTTTAAAAATACTTTTGGACTACTAACAGATAACTTTAGATTGAAATAAAAAAACATTTAATTTTATAATTTATAATCATTTGATTTTGTTTGCTTCTGTGTCAGTTTGTGGAATTTTCCCAAGCAGCCCAGGGGAATGGTTATTTTAGGCCCAGGAGCCAAGGGTTAAAAGGGTTAAAGTTTATGTTGCTCTTGAAATAGGATTTGTGTTCTGTTAAATCAGATTGGGACCTTGAACGAACTTGATTTGTGAAAACCATTTATTAAAGTTGTCCAAACAATACAATAGACCCTCAATATTGGTCCATGTCGATGTTTTTTTTCAGAAATGTTCGCTTGATATTCACCTGAAAATCTGATTCTGCCCAACCTGTCCCTTGGTACATCAGTTTCGGGCGGAGATTCAAAGTGCTACTTTAATTAAGAGTCTGTGCAGCTATTTTTTTAAAGAAATATGACCATGGTGTTCTGGAACCAGAGTTTTTTTTCTTTTTGTATTTTATTAAAGATTTTAATTTTTTTTTAAATTTAGAGTTGAGTCCCTTGTTTATTTTTGTACATTTTGTACTGTGTAGAACAGGGGTCTCAAACTCAAATCATCCGGGGACCACAGGAGGTAGAGTCTGAGTGAGACTAGGCCGCATCAATTAAAAAAAAAAGCGATTACAAATTCAATAAAGTAAAACTGGTACAATCTGCTCAATCTTTATTAATAACAAAATAAAACATTACCCGGTAAGGGTTCTCAAAACTAGGCTTCACTTTCTTCCTCCTACTCCTTGTTGCTAGAGATCTGGCAGTGTTTCTTCTTACACAGCTGAGCAACATTTGGCTTAAGTGAGGAAGCAACTGAGACCCTCAGTATAGCTTGAAGATGCTCATCAGTAAGTTTGGCCTTAAACTTTTACTTATTAAATTTCATTGTGAGAAAAGCGCTTTTCACACAGATAGGTACTCCCATACATAGATCTGATTTATTTGTGACAACTCTAAACTTAATGCATGTTCCTGCTGCAACTTTATTAATTTTTTTTTTCAGTTTTCAAACAGCGAATTCTTTTTCAAACTAAAATATTATTATAACTTTTTTTTTTTAAACTGTTCACTGCAAAAGTACACATGATGCAAATAGTCATATAGTTATAAATATTGATGTATTATACTATTATGACTCGTGGGAGATGCTGATCTTCTATCGAGCGCCTCCCCAGCCGGCGGATAGGGGAAAGCCCGCCAGATATGGAGGGTACCGGGGAAATAAAATACCCGGGGCGGACCAAAATCATCCCTACTGCCTTGTAGGAAGTGGAGGGATCCACAAAGGCTAGGGACCTAACCCGAACAAAGGCAGCTACCCATTGAGCTGTGAGGGGCAACCCCCCAAGTGGTTGTGCCCAAGGCCAACAACCCTGCCATGTAAAAAATCATAGTTACAAAAGCACCGAAAAGAGTAACTAAAGACATTTCAGTCCTGGGAGAGGATGGATTCCTTGAGGAGGAAAATATGACGCCTAATAGTCAAAGCCGAAACCTGGAAGCTATTAAGCCGACAACCATCATCTCTACCAGGACTACCACCATCATTGGCGCTTGGAATGTCCGCACCATGTATGAGGCTGGTAAAGCGGCACAAATAGCCGCTGAGATGAGGAGCTATAAGCTCACCATTCTCGGAATTAGTGAAGCAAGATGGACTGGATGGGGACAGAAGAGATTAATCTCAGGAGAGATGGTGATATTTTCGGGACACGAAGAAGACAATGCCCCACATACCCTGGGTGTTGCTATGATGCTATCAAGGGCAGCACAAGGAGCACTCATTGGATGGGAGGCCCATGGACCTAGAATTCTTTTAGCAACCTTTCGAACAAAGAAACGTAGCATCAACCTAGATGTTATACAATGCTACGCACCAACTAATGAAAGTGATGAAGGAGACAAAGAAGAATTCTACAATAGAGTAATGAACATAGTCCAGGATCGCCCACGGAGGAACATCGTCATCCTCATTGGAGACTTTAATGCCAAGATCGGCAATAGCAACACAGGGTACGAAGAGGTTATGGGACAGCAAGGGATAGGCGAGATGAACGACAATGGTGAGAGGTTTGCGGACCTATGTGCCACAGCTGACCTGGTCATAGGGGGGAGCATTTTCCAGCACAAGAGGATTCACAAAGCTACATGGGTCTCTCCGGACATGAGAACGATGAACCAAATAGACCATGTATGTATTTGTAAAAAATTCAGGCGATCTCTCCAAGACGTACGTGTTAAGAGGGGAGCTGATATTGCCTCAGATCATCATCTTCTTGTGGCCAGGATGAAATTAAAACTAAAGAGACATTATACCGAGCAAACAGCATACAGGACTCGGTATAATACCTCCCTCCTGAAGGACCAAGCCAAAAAGGAAGAATTCAGAATCTCACTATTCAATAAGTTCCAAGTCCTACAAGAAATACTTGAAGATGAAACCACCGAAGGAAAGTGGCAAAGCATGAAAGAAACAGTCCAGTCAACATGTCAAGAAGTGCTAGGAAACAGGAAAAAGGCACACAAAGAATGGATGACAGCAGGTACGCTGAATAAAATAGAAGAAAGGAAAAGAAAGAAATCAGAAGTGAATAACAGCCGCACCCGAGCACAGAAAAACAAGTCCCAGAAGGAGTATGCAGATGCAAATAAGGAAGTTAAGAAAAGCATCAAGAGGGACAAGAAGGAATTTGTTGATAAACTTGCTAAAGAAGCAGAGGATGCAGCTCACCAGGGGAACATGAGGGAACTGTTTGATACCATTAAGACGCTGTCAGGGAAATTTAGCAAGGTAGAGAGACCAGTGAAGGACAAAATGGGAAACACCATACCAAGTGAGGAGCAACAGAGAGGGAGATGGAAGGAGCACTTTGAAGAGCTCCTGAACAGGCCTGAACCAAGAAATCCACCAGATATCCAACCAGCCGATAATGACCTGCTAATTGACTGTAATAGTCCCACCAAAGAAGAGATTAGCAGGGCCATTAAACAACTCAGAAATGGAAAGGCTGCGGGACCTGATGGCATCCCAGCAGAGGCACTGAAGGCGGACCTGGAAACCAGTGTGGAAATGCTACACCCTCTGTTTATGAAGATATGGGAAGAGGAGCAAGTTCCTTCCGATTGGAAAGAGGGATACCTTATCAAGATCCCAAAGAAGGGAGACTTAAGCTCCTGCTCGAACTACAGAGGGATCACCCTGCTGTCCATCCCAGGAAAGGTTTTCAACCGTGTACTACTTAACAGGATGAAAAACGCTGTAGACCCTCTGTTGCGGGACGAACAAGCCGGCTTTCGCACCAACAGATCCTGCACGGACCAGATAGCGACACTGCGCATCATTCTAGAGCAGTCACTAGAGTGGAACTCGCCGCTCTATGTCAACTTTGTTGACTATGAAAAAGCCTTCGACAGTGTTGACAGGCAAACCCTGTGGAGATTGCTAAGGCATTACGGGGTGCCACAGAAGATTACTGATATAATCAGAAACATGTACGAAGGGATAAACTGCCGAGTTATCCATGGCCAGCAGTTGACAGATGCTTTCCAGGTGAAGACTGGTGTGAGACAAGGTTGCTTGCTGTCACCATTCCTCTTCCTGTTAGCCATTGACTGGGTGATGAAAACATCTACACAGCAGAAAAGAAATGGCATCCAATGGACCTTGTGGGATCAACTGGATGATCTTGACTTTGCTGATGATCTTGCACTTCTTGCACATACCCAACAACAGATGCAGGAGAAAACAAACATTGTCGCAGCCACTTCTGCTAGCATGGGTCTCAACATTCACAAAGGGAAGAGTAAAATCCTCAAGGTTAATGCCACCAGTACATCACCCATTATGCTTGAAGGAGAAGCCCTTGAGGAGGTGGACAGTTTTGTTTACCTTGGCAGCATGGTAGATAAACAAGGTGGTACAGATGCGGACGTCAAAATAAGGATAGGAAAAGCAAGAGCAGCCTTCCAACAACTCAAGAATGTTTGGGTCTCTAACAACTTAGGCAGCAAGTTAAAAGTAAGGATTTTTAACGCTATGGTAAAACCTGTGCTGCTATATGGAGCCGAGACATGGAGAACAACGGCCGTAAACCTGACCAGAATCCAGTCCTTCATCAACAACTGTCTAAGAAGGATTCTCAGAATTCACTGGCCAGACAAAATCAGCAACCAGGAACTGTGGCAGCGGACAAAACAGAAACCCATTGAGGAAGAGATTCTCCAGAAGCGGTGGAGGTGGATTGGTCATACACTAAGAAAACCTGCTTCTAACATAACAAAGCAAGCCCTGAAATGGAACCCACAGGGTAAGCGGAAAAGAGGCCGTCCAAGAAACACTTGGCGCCGAGAATTGGAGACAGACATCAAGAAAATTGGCCATGAATGGAAGATCCTGGAGAAGCTGGCCCAGGATAGAGATGCCTGGAGGTCTCTCGTAGGTGGCCTATGCCCTTGGAGGAACCGCAGACGCCGACGATGATCGGTGGATGCCCCTCATGGACGAGAAGGCTCAACATACTATCATGAGTAATATTAATGTATTACCTCAATATTTGATGCAGCAAGGTCTTGAACTGTTGGCCACTTCTGAGAAAAAAATAATTGCATTTAACATTTAATTGAATTAGTTGCATTAATAAAGGTCCTTAAGTTACCTTCATTGAAAAGTAAATTCAGAATAATTTTATACAGATTTTCAACAAATATAACAAATAATAAAGAGGATTGGTATGAGGCCAGCTACATCACCCATAAAAAGATTCAATGCTACAGAAATGTCAAAAATAAGAAAAAAAAATTTCAGCCCTGATAAGAAAGGGCTCTTCTTCCCCAAGAAGACTTATGAAACCTTGGGGCCAAAGCCAGGTTACACTGGATGCCTCAAAGCCGAGGACCCTCCTTTTAAAGGTAATAAGCAGGTAGAGATCTACATATCCTAATGGCAGATTAAATGCTAAGATAGAAAAAGAAAACAGAGGATACGAAGAATTATGGGGCGTCATGGTATAGGCGAGAGAAATGAAAATGGCGAAAGACTGGCAGACATCTGTGCTGCAAATAAGCTCGTTATTGGGGTCAGCGAATTCCAGCATAAGAATCTCCAAAAAGTAACTTGGCTGTCCCCTGATAACAGAAAACAAAACCAAATTGACCATATTTACATTAGCAAAAAAATCTGATCACCATCTAGTTTGAGCAAGACTCAAGCTAAAACTGAAGAAAAACTGGGAAGAGCCAACAGCTAGAAGACTAAAATACAAAATAGCACTTCTGGAAAATGAACAGAAATGACAGGAATTCAATGTTACCTTGAAAAATAAGTTTCAGGTACAGAAAGACCGAAAAGATGACCAGATGGCAAAATATAAAGATTTCTGTAACATCCACGAGAAACGAGGTATTAGGACAGGTGAAATAAAAACACAAAGATTGGCTCTCACTCAACATGTTGCAAAAAATAAACAAGAGGAAAGCAATGAAATGTGCAGTCAACAACAGCCACACCAGGGCAGAAAAAACAAAAGCACAAGTTAATATATAGACGAAAATCAAAAGGTAAAGAAAAGTATCAAAAAGGATAAAATAAGCGTACATGGATGGTCTAGTGTCAACAGCAGAAGAAGCAGCCAGAAAGAGGAACATGAAAGAATATTATGACATTACAAAAAAGCTCTCAGAAAGATACAAGAGATGGGGTTAAAGACAAGGAAGGTAGATCAATAATTGAATGAAAAGAACAAGAAAAAAGAGGGGTGGACAGTGGAATACTTTATGGAATTACCAAACAGACCTCCAGCCACAGACATAGCAGATGAAGATTTTCCAAAAGAAGACAGTGCCTCAGATAAGGAAGAAAAATCCTGGCTATCAAGCAGCTCAAAATAGGGACTGGAAAACATCACAACAGAGATAATGAGAGCAGATATAGATACAATGGTCAACATGTTGCATCCTCTGTTTTAAAAGATATGGGAAGAAGAGAGAGTTCCAAAAGATTATGAGGTATCGTTCTTTCTAATCTATTCTCATACCAGGAGCTTACTGCTGAAGACAACATAATAAAAAGATGGGGATGGATAGGGCACACTCTTCGTTAACCAGACAATCCCTAACATGGAATCCACAGGGAAAAAGAAAGACAGGAAGACCAAACAATACATTGAGACGCGAGCTAGAGGCAGACACAAAAAGTATGGGATACACCTGGACACAACTGGAAAGAAAAGCACAGGACCGAGATGAATGGAAACTTTTTGCAGATGGCCTATGTCCCTGATTGGGTAAAAGGCATAAGTAAGTTTCAACAAGTATGTTATTACTCCTCACTGAACAATGATCTCAACATTTTTTTGTTGCTATTTAATTCATTTCGAGTAACACAATCTGGTAAAAGCTTTAAAAATATTTTAAAAAGACTCTGGATTTTATGTAACAAATATACAAATTAACATAAAAAAACAATTCATGAGATGAAACATAAAATTTGAATTTTTCACCTTCATCCATTTGTTATAATAGTCAATAACCGTGACAACTTGTGTCTGCTGAAGCATGATTTCTGATACCCAAACTGCATAAGCTCTTTGATGTGGGTTTTCACTTGATATCTAACAAAAATATATTGACATATTATTTGTGTGTGCTTTTTTTTTTTTTTTTTTTTTTTTTTTTTTTTTTTTTTTTTTTTTTTTTTTTTTTAGGGGGGTGAGGCGCACAGTCCTTATGTAATTATTTTGGCTTGCTACCATAACAACTATATAACAACAGTACTGATATACAAAAATTATAATAGAAATTCATTTCTGTTCATGTACATTCACTAAATCAGTAAAATAATATAAAGACCATTTAATTTTAAACTGAGCAAATCTCAAGTTGGTGGTCTGGAGTTCAATTCCAGCCAAAGACCAGTCAAGCAAAAGCATCACCAGCACCCCAGGATGGCAACTCATCTAAGATAAGGAAACTCTGAATTTAAACCCGGAGATGGAGTCTTTTATGCGGATAACATAGTACAATGAAACATTTCACGCCACTGGTGACAAGCTGTATCATCCACATGATGTTCCCGTGGGTTTTCCAGCGGCATGGAGAGAGGCGATTTGCTGTTGGGAACCAGCTTATAATCCTAGAAGAATAATCTCAGGCCTTGTCGATTTCGTCCTCGAAGTCTTCACCATTGTCACATTGTGATGGATGGAAGCCAGCAGCATTCATTTCGACAGCTATAACCTTAAATTGGTAAGTATGTCTCCTGATTTCAAAGGTTGACATATCAATTCCATTACAAAACTCCATAGCTGGGGGTGACCCCTGATGAATTTGAAACTGCTAACTCTTTGTGGTGAAGTAAATTGGCAGAGCTTTCACTTCTATTTTTAAATCATGAAATCAAGATACCTTACTACTGAAATAAAAGATTACCTTTCTCCAAGGCAAATTTCTTTTATTCAAATCATACCAGGACAGTAATGACATTTTCAGCCTTTTTACTTCTTCTTCAGAAAATTGGTGCATGCTGATAAGATTGTTTGTTATAGGTAAGGACTCGCTTTTCTTGACTTTATTTCCTATAAAATATATACAAGTTAAAATAAATTGCAACATAAACTCATAAACTGAAATCAAAATTGTAGTGATCAACTTTTAAAAAATTCATTTTTCACATTTAAATTTAACATTGTTTTTTTTTTTTGTCGTAAGAATTCCAACTTAATTTGAGTATTATAAAGGTTATCTAATTTATAATGAAAAGAAATGTTTAACAGTTACCAGCTTTTAAAGTTCTGCACAGCATATTATAAATTTGAAAGAGCTGAAACCTCTGCAAAATAATTATAAAGTTGATTTAAATTAAATTTATATTATAAATACATTTTATAAAACATTAATGAATAAAGAGTTCAATAAGAAGAGTGTTTTTACTGAAACAATTTTGAGAAGATTAAAAAAAAAACTATCTCTCCTAGTCTATAATTTAACATTGAAAATAAGGAGGTATTATCCCTTACTTCCTCTTTCGACAAAGTCATATGTCATATGAAAGGCTTGGAAAGAAATGTTACATATGCTCAACTGGAAGTTGAAAAGATAAAGACGATGAAGGCAAGCAGGCATATTTTATAGTGTTATTGTAGATTAAAGACTCGTCTATTAATTGTTAACAATACTTAGGCTAAAGGAGAAATTGATTGTCTACCTTATTTTCCATGTGTTGCTGTGTAGCTCCGGGTTGAAATGGCTAGAAAGACTTTGATATTGTATGCTTGTAATTAGTTTTTGTAGTGTTGTGTTTGTTTTAAATGTGGTGAATTATAGATATGTTTTTTGTTGACTTTGTACCGCGCTTCGAGCCTTTGGGGATGAAGCGTGTTTTTTAAATCAACTTTATTATTATTATTATTATTACTATTGACTACTACTTTATGCAATGAAATTTATTGGCTACATTTCTGTTGGGAAAAAAAGTTGAGATAGATTTAATTAAGGGAAGTTATAAAGTGGATGAAAATCACACTTTTTTTTGTCTTTGGACACTTGTGGATTTGAAAATTATATACAAATACTACACAGTCAAATGTGCAGCAGTATTCTTTCATCAGAAAAATGTGGAAAACTTTTCGGACAGGAATCTTGAAATTGAATGAAATTATTTTTAATGTTTTGATCCACTTAGTCCAATGAATCAGCCTTCTCTATGAGATTATGATGGGATTCATCAAGTCAAAATACAGATCAGCTACAGTTTTACTTACTGAGCTACTGACTCCTGAGTATACAATATGTCGGTAATCGCAGTATGACTAATAATTTATAGTAATGTCATTGTGTTTATATTATTAATCACTCATATTTTGACTTACCAGTGCCCAGTTCAAACTCTTAGATTACTTTTTATTTTTAAGAAGGACTATCATAAGAAATAATGAATGCCTTGCCGCCTTGCCTTGTCCTTGATGCTGATGGCCACTGATCCACTTCTATGTGTACTGAAAGAATTTTTTTAACAAGTTATTAGAATATTAGACATTATTAGTCAGTCATGAGTCACTTTGTAACTTGTACTTTGATCAGCAAGTCTGAGCAAGCCCTACCAGCTAACTTCTAAGCCTAAGTCTAAGACTACTAAGAAATACTAATACTAATAATTACTAATAATAAATAAGGAGTAAGAGTAAGAGTGTAGTAAGAGTTGAGTAGCTTAAGACGGTTAATAAACCCAACCAATTATTTCTTGAAATTAAGAGTTTTGGTAGTATTAGTATTAATAAATAGTAAATACTGCGTACGGTAACGGCACTAAAGTTAAAGGTAAAGGTACAAGTCTAATGTTTTGCAACAAATTTGAAAATTCAATTTTGTTTTACCGCTTTCGTAAATTTCATTGCAGTTTTGAAAAATTTCTTGGGAGGTGTCTATTTTAAACAAGAAAAATACTAATTCATTTTTTAGAATATTTCCAATTATTGTTTGGAAATTTTTAATTTTATTTAATTAGGGAAATTAGGGAAATTTAACGTTAAAATGAATACTTAGGCTAAAGGAGAAATAAATATACGCATTTATTTGTTTATCACACATTTTAACGACGATTTGTAAACAATGATTTCTCACTAATGATAATGATGGCAGCCCCCCATGCCAATGTAGCATCAGTTCATTTTCTCAATGAAACCTGCAAAAAAAAGTTTAAGTCCTATAAAAATGTGAGATATTATAATATGGGTAATCTCTTATTTTAGCGTGATTAATTATTTCAAGTGAAATAGTTTTAAAACTTTCAATTTACATAATTTACCTCATGAAATTAGTCTTTGACTCTTTGACTACTTTGAGTTTTAGTTGTCAATGATATGGCAATGTGACTCAATGACAATGTCATTGAATGGTACTACTAAGACTACTCTATTAAGTATAGCTATAGGGACTTCGGTGTGGCCCGGAAATACCTGAAAAAAGGCTGTCGTAATTTTGTTGTCAAAATGGCGACCTCCACTTTTTAATTGACCAAGGGTAGCGTTGTTATGAATTTTTTAGCAGATGTTAGTTTTGTTAGTAAATTCTACTTCCGCCCTCAACTTAAAGCAGACAAGACATGTTATTTGTTAATGTAGATACTTCGACTTCGATGAAACAAGGGAGACTACTACTTTTTGTGTATCGGAAATAGAAATCGGCGCCGAAAAATCCGAGTTTTTAATTTTCCGATGTGTGTATCTATTATTAAATTAGTACTTTCGATATATATTTGAGTTCCGTTTTCGGCCTCATAATTAGGTAGACATCTTGGCCTACATTTTAATCAATTTCTTTTTCATTTACAATCAGTCAGCTTTGAGAAAATCCTTGGTAAATATAAGGCAACTTTCATCATTAAAATTAAGTCGAAGGAAAAAATTTGTCACTACCAAATTTTTTTTGCATCTGGGGAATCTATTGATCTACATGTATGCCATTTTTCACAGCGATAAGTGTCTTACGAGAGACGCCATGTTTCTACGCGTTCGCAGCAGGTCATGCAGCTCGCTCAACCTAATTTCGCCATGGGGTGGGCCACGCCCCCTTTTTAATGGCGGACTTTGCCGATACTTAGGAAATATTAATTTATTACCACTATTTACATCAAAATAATTGATAACTTGTGTTTCAGAATGCATTTTGAAGACATTTAAACTGGAATGTTTTAATTTGAGCTTTAACAACCCGGTAGAATCCATATTATAAATGATCAGAATTTACCGTGTGCAACACGTTGTCATTGGCAACCATTCACAGCCACTTGCATAACGGCTGTATCGTAGTACTACCTCAGAGTTTCATTCATAAGAGTTTGCCGTGTGCAAAAACTACTATACCATTGGTCAGGGAAAGCTTTAATTAATTATTCATGTGCCAAAGTTGAAAGTTTAAACTAAGTCGACCCTAAACAGTATTTTAGTGATAAGGCGATGTGTTGCCTTATATAAAGTATATAGTCATTGCGCATGACACGATCAGCGAAATGAGGTCACAAGATGTGGAGGTTTCGTCCATAGTAAAAAATACCAAACGAACTCACACTTTAAAAATTCATAGCTCAAAAAATATTTAAGCTAAAATGTTGATTGTGGTTTCATTTTTTTATTTGAAATTCACTCTAACTAACTGTGTTATTAAAAAAATTATTTCAATTTTTTAAAATTTTGTATTCAAGTGCCTAGTTAATGTGACACTTCTGGTAAATTACGAGGACGAATGCCACTATTTTATCAAATTTCACGAATGTATCCCTAAATCGATCCCTATGCCTAACCTGAACACTAAATCGATCCTTATGCCTAACCTTAGGGACTTTGGTATGATCCGTAAAGTGCCGAAAACGGGGTATTGGGATTTCGTTGTCAAAATGGCGACCTCCACTTTTTAATTTACTGAGGGTAGTAGTGTTGTTTCAGATTTCTTCTTCTATATCTTAAGGGCCCACGATCAATTTATTGATCATTTTGGCTCCTATGCATGTAGATGAGATTTGCAATGTTTCTGTGCCTGGTGTTGATGAGGAAATTTCACTGATTTCCAGAGCCACTTTGTGAGGGAATCACGCACTAGGGGTTTGAAGGCTTGAGGCAATAGACACAAATGTGTCTAGTGTAGACACAAATGTGTCTAGTGTTGTCGCCTCAACCGTTCTTTTTGAAAGCTTGTTCCAGTCCCATATTGTCTTGGGCAGGAATGAGCAGCTCCTATACTGGCTTCTTTCGGGTATGAGCCTGAATTGCCTGTCATGGCCTCGTCGCTGTCTATGGAGGAGAAGGGCAAGTTTCTGCTTAATACTGGAACAGTGGACCAGCCCATTATTTATTTTGTACATCATGGAGAGCGGGGATTGTCGTCGTCGTTCCTCCAATGGTGACCAGTCTAGAGTTTCCAGCATGCTGCCAACACTAGAGGTATTCCTGTAGCAGTTTAGGACAAAGCGTGCTGCTCGTCGCTGGACCGCCTCCAACCTGTCAATGCTCTTCTGGGTAAATGGGTCCCAGACTGAAGATGCATAATCTAAAAACGGACGGACAAAGGCTTTATATGCTCTTTCTTTCACACAGGAGTTGTCAATCTTTAGATTTCGCCTTAAGAACTCCAGGGTCTTGTTAGCTTGGTTACAAACATTGTTAATATGCTCGTCCAAGCGGACCTCTCTTTGAATGGTAACACCCAGGTGCTTTGCGGAGGAAACTGGCTCAAATATATGGCCGTGAAGTTCGTATTGGTAGTATAGAGGAGTACAACTTTTAGAGACTGATAGTGTCTGGCACTTGGCAGGGTGAAAGTCCATGTCCCAGCTCATCTCCCACTTAGCTAACAGATTGAGGTTCTGTTGTAGCTGGTCCTGGTCAGATCTGTTGGCGATCGTCCTATACACTGCTGTGTCATTTGCGAACAGTCTTGCTTGTAATGTCAGTTTCTCGGACATTACAGACATTAATGTATGCTGGGAACAAACAGGGGCCCAGCACTGATCCCTGGGAGACCCCTGACTTCACATCGACAAAGGAGGAGCTTGTACCGTCCACCACTACTGCTTGGCATCGGTGGCTGAGGAAGCTAGAGATCCATGTTTTAGTGGTGCCTTGGATCCCATATCTCTGGAGTTTGTGTAGATTCACACGATCAAATGCCTTTGAGAAGTCCATTACCAGCACGTCAGTCTGCTTGTGGTTCTCCAGATTGGTCATCAGGTCTTCTACAAATTCAAGAAGCTGGGTCTCGCATGATTTATTGACTCGGAAGCCATGTTGACAGTCATTGTGTATATTTTGGCTTTCAAGATGCTTCATGACTGTGCTTACGATTATGTGCTCCAACAATTTGCAGACCACGCTGGTGAGGGATATCGGACGATAGTTGGCAGGGTCTGAATGCTCCCCTTTCTTGTAGATTGGAGTGACATGCGCTGTTCTCCAGTCTGCTGGAACATTTCCTGTGCACAGTGACGATTGGAAGAGGATTGTCAGTGCAGGAGCGATTTCTTTGGCTAATTCTTTGAGCACTTGTGGTTTGATGTTGTCAGGACCACATGCTTGAGGGTATTGAGGAGGGCAAACCCACCTTGTTCTGATATCTGGATGTCTTCCATGACAGGGTAGGCTCTGTTCATCATTTTGGTCTTCAGAACTCGGTCTCAGGGTACTCTCTACCGTCACCAAAGACAGACCAGAACTGCTGATTGAGTATGTCAGCCTGTGCTTTTGGGTCAGATGTCAATTGGCCATCCCACCTCAGGGGGGGGAAACTCCAGCTTTAGAGGACTTTTGGTGCGTCACATAGCTCCAGAAGCGCTTGTTCATGACATCCTTGGTCGGGGTGTCTTCCTCTGAGAAGATGCCCTTCATGTAGTTCACATAGGATCTGCGCAATAAGCGTTGAATGGCTCGGCGGAGCCTCAGTACCTCCTCTCTCTCAGTTCAATCGAGCCATTTTTCTTCATACGTTTGTATTGGTGGTCTCTCCTGTGGATGAGCCTATGTCTTCCGCTATGCTGGTGCTTATTGATTACTGATTACGTCAACATATCAGAGAATATCTTCAGTAAGCAGCCGACCAGGGAAACACAGCAGCCTGGCAAAAGATGTGAGGCGCGAGACTTGGCTATGTAATAGAAATCCACCAACATTAGAGAACCATCAATGTCCAAGCCTTGTAATGAGCGAACCAGGGAAATGTTAGGAGCGGACCAGGGATTATGTTACGAGGTGTAAACCAGAAACATTGTGCACATAATCTCCTTGTACAGTAACAGCTAGGAATGAAGAAGAATGCTTTAGTGCCTTAGCGAGGGTTAGATCCGCCTGTGCTGGATGAGAGTTGTTCTGCCCACTACCACTAAATTAAAAAGGAAAAACACCAAAAACTCTTCACTTTGCAGTAAATGCCGCCCCTCCATATAAAGGAAAAAAAAGTGCCTCCTGTGGTGGACCACCCCTTCACAGCCCCCTTCCTATGGAAGTGGAATGACATTTTTATGGCAGTTGTGAGTCATATATTAGTAGGCAAGTAATGTGTTTAAATGGTCTGTGGTTGGTCAGCTCTAATTCGATAGGGGTGACTTAACTATTTAGATGACACCTAAAATCGACTGATTAGTGATGAGTAAAATGAGAGACTGTTAATAAATTGGAAGGACTTCTTATGCTTTATTAGTAATCTGTTTGTTCTGGTGTTCAATTCCCTATTGCCATATATTTCATTACTTTCTCCTTTATCGCCTCGTTGTAAATCACCAACTATTTATTGACAATGAAATCATCAAAAATTAAAAATTTTAAAAATTGACACTTCAGTTAAAAGTTTTAACAAAAATTGTCCCACATATTCCCAACCCTATACTCTAAAATCTAGACTCTTTACGTCCGTAATGGATGCAGGACCTTGTCACTGAAAAGCGGCATTCTGGGCGAAGCTTGAAACTACTATATAAACTAGTACTAGTATATAGAAAATGTGCCCCCTGATATGACGCCCCTGTACCACCGAGTACCACCTTTACATGGCCCTACATATTCAAAGATGCCTAAAACATGAGTTACTTAAATATTTAAACTTGGCTAAACACACCACTGGTTTAGATAGCTGTATCAGACACCTAGACATAATTAAATAAATTTATTTAAATCTACATACCCAGTACATCCTATTGGGCAACTTTTATAAGGTATCTTTGAGTTCTCCTTGATTTATTAAAATGGGGCCATGAAAGACAAAAAATTCATTAAATTGTACTTTTTTGATCTCGTAAAATTTGTTAGATTGTTTTATTCCAACAAAAAGATGGTATTTTATTTTCAAAAATGCATTTAATGTAGTTCCATAAGGTTAAAATTAAGTTTTTAATTTATTTCACTAGAAATAATTCATGGTGGTAAAATTAATGGTACATTTTGAATAGTTACTTTACTGGCTTTACATTGAATTATTAATTGTGCAGGAGCCATATTTAATTGCTATTAAAGCATTTTACTAAATTCCTCAGTGGTAGAAGTAGACTGATTTTAAATTAAGACTTACTTAGTTACTTAGTAATTAGGCAATCCTCCAAAAGCTGTCCCAGATTCAAAACACTAGAAAAATATCCTCGAATGAGCAGTTACTTTGACACTTCAATAATGGCTAATCTAACAGTTGGACGTTGGTTATAAAAAACTTGTTGTTCCAGTTTGAAGTGCTATTTAAAGTTTTAACTTAAACGGGTTTTCTTTTAATGACCAATAATAGTACAGTGGAGAGGGCCACTGGATTTTCGGTGACATAGAAAGAGAGAGTATGCACTGTTTTCTCATTGAAGTGCCATTACGATGTGTGATCACGTTTCAGGAGTGCATAGAATATGATAGAGAGAAATATCCTTCCAGGCCCACTTATTGTATCAGACGGTGACGGATGGATGGCTTATATTATTGTGAAACCTCGTCCACTTTTAAAAAGTCCCTTAAAACCCATCTGTTTAGGTCCGCCTATGACCTGTGATGCACCCTCCTTGCCCTGCCTCATTTTCTGTCTCGGGTTGATCCTGTGTTATAGGCCAAAACGTGCCAAAGTGTCCTCGTTTTATAGCCATTTTAATTGTTTCTATTGTATAGTAGTTACTATCCTAGTGTCTCATTTTTTATTTTACTTAGTTTACATGTTTTTAATAATTGTAAAGCGCTTTGAGGTTTAAGGTAAGCGCTATATAAAAAATGCCTAAATAAATAAATAAATATTAACTAGATCAGACAGGGAACACTCCATTGTTCAGCAGATTTTTTAAAATCCAAATGACCCTTGTGTCCACACTGACTATTGAAACCATGTGGATGCACACAAATTGCAAACTGAAAAGACAATTTTCACAAGCCATGACATTTTCCCTTGATATTTGCATGAGTTCGTGACCTGCAATGGTTTTCTTTGAGACGATACATTAAATTCTTTTACCCGGTACATTTTTCTATTTGAACAATTATTAAATTTTTAAAATTGTTATATTTTAAAAATGTTATCTTTTATATGTGTACTGAAATTAATATGTAAAATGTCATAAAAAACATTTCCATATATTTGGATCAATAGAAGAATTTTATTTTATCAATAAAACAATACAGTACCTGTTTAAATAGCACTTCAACCCGGAAAACATAATTTTTTCATAACTGACGCTCATGTGGTAGATTACTCAATAATGTTTTATGAAGTACATGGTCAAATGTGATAAATATCATTCAACAACTGAAACTACTGTCAGCAAATATGTTTTGTGGTAATAGCCACAGGAAAGCACACAAGTGGTTTGGGAAAAGGCTAATTTACGATTGACCTGCATCGAGAGTTCTTCAATTTCAATAGTCTGTGTGTGTATTTCTCAGTGAACAGGATGTACACAATCTTGAGCATGCCCTAACTTCACTAAGGCATCATGCTGATAAACTCCATTATTGATTTGATTGACATCAGCATTTCCTCAAAGTACATGATCAGTTATAATGCTATAATGCATTCAAGTGTTGGTGCATTTTCAACCAACATCTACCAGTAACACTTTCATAAATTACTCATGTTTATAAAAGTGGATCAAGCTGTGTCAAGTGTTGTCGCCTCAACTGTTTCTTTTGGAAGCTTGTGTCAGTCCCTGATTGTCTTTGGCAGGAATGAGAAGTTCCTGTACTGTGTTCTGGCCTGTTATGGCCTCGTCACTGTCTAATGGGGAGAGGGACGAGTTTCTGTTTAATTTTGGAGCAGTGGACCAGCCCATTTTTTAACTTGTACATCATAATCTGGATAATCGTTGCCATTCTTCCAATGGTGACCAGCCCAGTGTTTCCAGGATTGTGCCAACACTTGAGGTGCTCCTGTAGCAGTTCAGGACAAAACGTGCTGCCTGCACTGGACCGCTTCCAACCTGTTGATGCTCTTCTGGGTGAATAGGTCCCAGACTGAAGATGCATAATCTAAAAGCGGCTGGACAAAGGCCAGGTTGTTACCCTTGGAGGGGCTTGATGGAAGATCAGTATCTCCTCACAAAAGGGTAGAGGAAAAAAAAAAACACTTTAAAAATATTTCAAAATCTGATTTTGGTCAGACCTTGCTTCTTCGACAATATGTATAACTTAATAATCATATTTTCACATCTAAATTCCATAACAATTTTTTTTTAAGGTTCAACAATTTATTCTACCTTGATACAATTCCTAAGAAATTAAATAAAGTTTAATTTAATACGAATACAATTTTTTACATTTTTTTTTTTTAAATTTATTTTCAAAGACATAAATTAAATTAAATATTTTTTAATATGTTACTTAAACTAGTGAAGTGGTGGTTTATGGAAGATATAAAAATATTTCAAAGTTATGTCTGATTTAATTTCAGAGTGTAATCTTAGATATTGGGGATGGCAAAAAAATATCTGGCATGTCAACCATTGGAAAATACCTTCTAAGAACACAAGATGAATTTAAAGGTAAATATCCTTCATGTGGTACCTTAAGTGGATGTAGTGTGTCATTAGTGGTGAGATGTCGATAATTACAAAGGATTTTTTAGATGTTTTTGCTTAATAGAAGTTCCTAAGATTGTGTTGGGTGGAAGAAAGTCATTTCCGGCCATGGGAAATGCCAGTGTTTTCCTTATATGAGCTATACAAATTTAAAAAATCATGATTTTGGGTTGTGGGTTGGTTGGTCATGAAGTTTAATGTAAGTTTTATTGGTGCACAAAAATGAAAGTCATTCCTGGCTCAGTACATAAAATAGTTTTGCTCATTACATGAGAACATTGTTTTGAGTGTTAATTTACTCAACGTCTCACCATTGTGAAATTTATCATTATTGAATTATCATTCGTAGACAAAGGTGGGCAACCTTTTTCAAAATATCAACGAAGGTGATGTCTCTGCTAAATTTAAAAGTGTCTAATTTGTGTTAAAAATTTGTGACAATTTGGGGAAGGTATGGCCCTTGTGGTAAGTAGTTCGTTTTCTAGGATTAGATCCCATCTTTATGAGCACAAAAAACATTGTAAAAGCCTAGAACTGTTGCTGTCTCCTAGCCCCTACAAGGCTGATGTCTAGTGTGAAGTCAAATAATCATGTGACGGTTAAAATTTCAATTTTTTAAAATTTATTAACACACAAATTCCACAAAATGCCTAACAAGTAATTACTGGCATTAGCAAAAGAAACATGTTTGCGAAATAATTTTCCAAATCTCCTATTACAAATACTAAGATGCCCTCCACTCATAAAAAAAATATTAAGAGTCACTCCTAGCAAAAATTAAGTTTCTCTCCTACTGTCAAACATACTGTGTTTATACTCCTATAAAAAATACTAAGTCACTCTCCTCCCAAAAAATAATATCCTTCCCGCTCACAAAATGTACACACCTTTTATACTAAGGTTTATAATCAACACTTAGATGCTGTGCTATGTGGCTGAGTTAAATTCATGATTAAAGGAAAAATAGGAAAAGAATAAAAATATACATAATATCCCAAAAATCATGATATGACAGCAGAACTCAGACCTGTTTACTCTCACGATTTTGGCGTACAATGTATGATTTTGAGGTGTACACACAATATATACTGTATGTTTATTTTTTACTATTAAGATAATGTATTGAACGATTTCGTGATGATATTGTACGCTTTTAAGAGTTTTAGGGTAAACAGGTCTGCAGTACTACATCACATAATCTGACTTTGACAGCCCCTTACCTAAACCACCTTTTTCCATATGGTATATTGTTTTAAACTGTTCACTTATGTTTTCTCGTAAAAAGGTAACCAAATGGTAATTTAACAGTTTTTATTATTGGTAACGTAACTTTATCATGTATTTAAAAAATTATTTTCTTAATTACCATCATGGCTGTCTATTGATGCACTCTAGAGCTTAATTGTCATCAATTTTGACACTTTTTATTTTTACAATCATTCATTAGCTTGTGTAATAAACACAGATGGTGTTATAAAAGAATCATTGATTTTTTTTTACAATGTGGAATAAAAAGTCAATGAAGTATTGTTGTCATTAAAATAGACTTATTATGTCTACTGGATAATATTTTTGTTCATGAAAACTCTGTTGCATTATAATCTATATTAATTCTAATTCTATAAAACTGTGTTTTTTTATACTTATTTTTACTTATTATTACCAAGTCAGTAATTTTATTAATTTTTTGGGGCTTTATTATTTTTGGCACTATTGAAAGTCAAATTGGTCATTGTTTACTCATTACCATATTATTATAGATATGGTTAAAATTAATTATAAACTTCTTTGTTTCTAACAATTGTCTTTATAATTAATGATTGTCAGTTTTTTTTTTACTAAGGAAGGATAGCTTACAGTTAATGAATGCATGTTTTCACATCCAATCCTATTATTATTATATTTTCTTCATTTTTCATGATTATTATTATTATTAGGTGGTTTTGTATATCGCAGTACCCATTCAAAGTCTTTCATCCCTTTCAACTATAACCAACACAAGCCAATATACATCTAGGAGATAATAGCTAGCTGGAAAAGATGGTAGACAACATCACTCCAGCAGATGTTTGCGAAATAGATGTGTTTTCAATTCGGTTTTTAAGGATTTCAGTGTCTGGCTGTTTCTGAGGGCGACAGGAAGGATGTTCCAAATTGTTTGACTAGCAAATGCGAAAGTGCGCCTTCCGTAAGTCTCAAGACGAACATGCGGTATCGAGAGTTTGCCACTATCAGATGAGCAGAGTTGTCTAGTCATAAGGCGTCATGAGTGCTTTGAGATAGGACGACGCCAGGTCTTGCAAGCAGCGTTAGCACAGGGTTGCAATTTTGTACTCTATGCGAGCACGGATCGGCAGCCAATGCAGTTCTCTCAGAAGTGTTTTAGCATGGTCGAATTTGCGTTTACGAAGAACAATGCCAGCCGCAGTATTCTGTGCTTTTTTAATTTTATCCAGGAACGTAGCTGGAAGACCCACCATGAGAGGATTGCAGTAGTCCATGCATGATAGCATGAATGCAGACATCAGTTTCTTTGATGCATCAAACGTTAAGAAAGGTCTGATATGACTAATTCTGCGCAGCTCTAGAAAAATCACCTTGTAAAGCATGAAAATATGATTTTCCATAGTTAGTGTTGTCTAAGTAGACACCAAGGTTTCGCACTGTTTTGGCAAACTCAATCTGCACACCTGAGAGAGTAAGGGATGCGTGTTATTCACAGATTTTAGTTTTTGAGCAGTAGCATTGGGGATCAGCTCGGTCTTTTCATGATTCAATTTGAGCTTGTTCATGGTCATCCATTGCTTAACTGACTCCACTGTCTTCTGTGTCATACTAAGAAGCTGAGGGAACTGAGAGGGGATCAAGGATTTGCTGAAGTTGGGTATCATCCGCAAACATGCAATTAGCATGTCAAACTGCTTTATCACTGCACCCAGGGGCTGAATTTACATAGTGAAAAGCACCGGGCCTAGGACCGAGCCCTGGGGTACTCCGAATTCGATAATAGATTGCCTTGAGGTCAGACCGTTTACGATAACTGATTGAACCCAATTTGTCAGATACGAGCGGAACCATCTCAGGATGTAATTAGTGAAACCGAACGTTTTTTGCAGATGTTGGAGAAGTATGCCGTGGTCAAGCGTATCGAACGCTGCCGATAGATCAAGTAACGACAAAAGGGATACCTGGCCCTCACCACAAGATGACAGAAGGTCATTTACGACGTGCAACAGTGCTGTCTCTGTAGAGTGATTTGCCCTGTGTGCTGACTAGAAAGGCTCAAACAAGTCACACTAAGTGAGGTGATCCAGGAGCTTGCGGAGATTCACTTTATGCTAGTCACACTTTAATCAACCTCTACCCCTCTGTTTAAATTTACTTGATTGAATACTCTCAAGAGCTCATTTCTATAAACTATAAATATTTGTGCAAAACATGCCACAGGATCATGAGATAACCTTTTACTTTTATTTCCCAAATTATAGTAGACATTCAAAGTGCAACCTTAATAAATCTTTAGTGTAAAGCTATTCCTCTTTATAATTTAACTTGTACTCCAAGCAGCATCTATATTTTCTACATACTGTCAGGCAACTTGTAATAAACTCCCTATTATTATTCATTATTCAATTAACTTGAACTTTCAAGCCACTTGCACCATGCAATTATTTAGTAAATTAAGTTAAAATATTAACAAATTAAAGATAATTTTATTAATAGGTTAATAAAACGTGTTCTTTCCTTAGGCTACACTATTATTTCTTCACATTTTTCTCTTTCCACAATATTCAGAATACTTAAGATCATAGTGAATCATACTGATGCATATCTAAAGTTTTAATGAATTTTGATAGGTGCTATGGTAATTTAAAGAGTGATGATCAGATATCTGGAAAATTCAGTTATTTTCCAGTCTTCAAGTCCCAGTGGTGCCAGTTAGGAGGGAGTTTAGTGTGCTATGCTCTGTGCATCTATTCTTGTTACGCACTGACTTGTATTGGGAGAAATTAATCTCCTATTTTAATTTTAATTGGCTCGTTGTAAGCAGTGCCTAACAAAGGACGATACCATAGAATCAACAATATTAAAGGTACGACCCAAAACAGTTTCTAGTTACAATTAATTAAAATTTATTATGTCTTAAGATAATTACAAAAGAAAAGAAAATATAATTACAATCTTCAACTTACAGTATGGTAGATCTTGTATCGGTACACAGTTAACACAGTTAGAATAATGTGCCAATAAATAATGCGAAATAATACGAGCACACAAATACACAAAGAATAAAACACGCCTCGTAATGTTAAGAAAATCTATCTGAAAAATCTCCGTCCCTCGTCCGTGCCTGTCAATCCCTTATATAGGTGGGTCTACCGACGCCTAAGCCCTGCCTTCGACAAGCTACATGGCATTTCTAGAACCATCAGATTCATTCTACAAAACACTACTTGGAACAGATTAATTATTTTTAGTAGTTGGCGGTGTAAACAAGAATACATCAAAGGCCTAAGCCACACCCCTTTGTGAACACAGCGTCTCATGTGGGGTCAATCAGAGGGCACGCACGAGAAATATTATGTAAACAAGCTCTCTATAACAATTCTTATGCACGTTTATATAATTGTTAAGGTGATTACCTTCATATTATATATTGTGTATTTTATGTTATTAAAACGTCTCTTAATTGTGAGAACAGTAAAGTTGTCTTTTTCATTTGAGTTGGATAGAATATTATTTGAAACGTTCTGCCTTTGCTATGTTTTTATTCTTTAAACCCTAGAAATCTTGCCACCTTATAACTCAAATAGATTTTGTAACAATGACAGAAAGAAAAAAAAATATTTTAAGTTTTCATGTACAATTAAAAGAAATCTTAAACTTTTTTCCAGATTTTCTCCTTGAAGATCGAATGGCAGTTGAACAGTGGCTAGAGTACAGGCACTTAATTGAAAATGCTGCTCAAGATTCAGAGTTGCAAAAAGTTGTTTTGAAAGTTAGTATGCATTGGCATGAAAAAAATTTGTTTGGTTGAAGAAAAAAAATCACAGTTAAGTAGGCCTACACATCTGAAAATAACTATTTGAAAATAAAGTTATAATCATAAATGATTTGAACATTACTTACTTAATAAAAATTGTTTAAAAAGTGAAAATAGTGATAACTTTGGACAGAAAAAAATCTAATACTTATAATTAATTTTAGAGCTTGTGGTTTTCTTTTTTCCTTATATTTTATGATATCTTTAGTTGTTTTTTTTATTAGTAACATTGTGATTGCATGTGTTATGACCACTTGTGAATAGTACTGGTAGTAAATTCTTGATGTATAAAGAAAAAAATTAATTTTTAAAAAACAAAGCCTCTTTTGCTCCTTTTCTTAAATTCCAGGAGCTGAATCAATATCTAAAAGACAAAGTATATTTTGTAGCACAACAACTGACATTAGCAGACATTCTTGTGTATCATAGCATCTATGATATTTTTGTAAGTATAGATTTTTGTTATCATCTAAATCAGGGGTCTCCAAACTACTGCCCTCTCATGCGGCCCGCTGAGACCTTTTTGTCCACAGAAAAAATTACGGAAATGTACGTGTACCCTGCAAGAATCAGACGCCGCTTAAGTGGACATTATGTTTTTACCGAATTAAAATAGAGGCGCACAGTTGTGCGTTATATTTTCTAACCGATCATAACTTGGAAAACCTTATTGGCTGCTTAGTTTTTCTACTTCCGTTCACAGTCAATGAGATGATATAACGCCATCTGGTGGCGGAGTTTTGCCCGCCATGTTGCAGACATAGGTGAAAACGTTGAGACTCAAATAACGACAAATGCAAGCAAGCTGTTCCACCTCTCAACTGCTTGTGTTCATTAGAGGTGTGGATGAAGACATGAACGTAACACAAGAGCTGGCTTCCCAACGTAGCATGTACGACATTGTTACCGGAGAGAATATATTCAATGAGTTGAAAAAACATTTGCTGATTATAACTTGGACTGGACTAACCTCAGTTGCCTGACCGTTGATGGAGGAAATAACACGAGTGGCATAAAGAAAGGCTTGGTTGGACAAGTGAAGCAGATGTGTAATGAGAGAAAAATTCTGCAACCAATGTTTCTGCACTGTATTATTCAGCAGAAAGCTTTGTGTGCTAAATATGTGGACATTAGCAGGATACTGAATCCTGTGGTAAAGAGGGTTAATTTAATAAGGTCACATGGGCTCAACCAGACACAGAATCGTAAGATTTACCATAATAAGATGGCTAAGTTGTGAGAAAGTTCTGAGCAGAGCATTTAAGTTAAAAAAGGAAATAGGTGACTTCCTGGAAAGTAAAGGCAAGCCACAGCCATTACTGTCTGATGAAGAGTGGGTTTGGACATTGGCCTGTGCTACAGGCATAACAAGTCATTTAAATTTTCTGAACCTAAAACTACAAGGAGAGGAAAATCTTGTTTCTGATCTATACACCCACCTAAAGGCCTTCAGATCCAAATTCGTCTTGTTTTTTGGAACAAGTATAGGCCAACAACTTGACACACTTTCAGCAGTGGACGGTCTTTATGGCTGAAGCATCAGCGGAGTTCCCCAACGTCATTTGCATGCAAGATCATCAAAGACCCCAAGCTGCAGTGTTAGCAGCGTTTTTCTGACTTGGATTTAAAGGCAGAAGAAATGAGACTTTTTCAAAACCCATTTGAAGCGGATGCGGCCAGTCGCCCAGATGAACTGCACCTGGAGGTCATTGAGTTGCAAACAAATGACCTCCTAGGGACAAGTTCAAAGAAGGAGCGGTGGGTTTTAAGCTAGTTTTCGCCAAAGGAAGACTTTCCTAATTTCAAAACATTTGCATCAATGTACCTTTCAAACTTTGTAACAACATTTCGGTGTGAACAAACATTTTCAAAAACGAAATACGTGAAGTACAATTTGAGATCAAATTTGTCCGATGATAATGACAGGTCACTGTTGATGTTAGGGATACAAATCTAAATCCAGAAATGTCTGCTAATCACTGCTATTTTGGCATCCAGGAAACAATTTCACCATTCCCACTAATACAGGTGTTCATGTGTCGCGTATTAATGTTTTATTAAATAATACCTGAATGAAATAATTATACATAAATAATTAAAAACAAAATCCATGTTTTGATTATTTTTTATTTGGACATCGAGTGTGTAGTCGGCCCCCGAACTGCTGTTTGATAGTTAATGCTGCCCTCGGTCTGAAAAGTTTGGAGACCCCTGATCTAAATGACTGACACTAAAGGTGAAAGCATTCAAGTTACTGCTAATGTTTATTTGCCATGCTAGAATTTCTTTTTGTTTACCAGAGACTTTTGTTATCTACTCATAAACCTAGCATATTTTTGAAAAGTTTTTGGTTTCATGTATAATTGCATTTGTGACTGTAAAATTCTATATGCTGAGCATTATTATTGGTTTAAGTTTAAAAAGTAAAATGCAATCATAACATAAATTGTTTTATAAAGATCTCTCAATGTAACGGTAATTTATTTTTTCTCTAAAGACTAAACTTATATCATTATCTTATGACAATTACATTATGTCTTGTTTGTGTTCAATTAGATATTTTTACTGGTATGTATTAAGAGTTGATTTGCCATAAACTTGTTATAATCAAAGATTTATACAAAGGTATATGATATCAAACATTTATATATAAGGCACTAGACCACAATTGAGGAATTATAATAGGGTTGGACTGCAGTAAAGCTTAAGTCTTTATGTTGATAAAAGTCACAAAGTTTCTAGATTTTTAATCTTATGCTTATGTGTTAAGCCAGTGGTAGGAAAATTGCGTCTCGCAAGTCGCATGCGGCTCTTTACTTTAACAACCTGAGTGCGGCTCGGCCAGTCGGCCACAAATTGCTTTTGACTCCGAAATACATGGTTCTTGACAATTCTTGAAAAGAAATTTGTCTCTCAAAATTTTTTTAATCGTCCTGCTGCTGATTTTTGCCTCTTTTTAATAATGGGTTTGCCGACCACTGTGTTAAGCCAACTCTGATGACAATGTTAAATAATTTTCCACAGAAAACATTGACTTTTCTTGATAAAGAAAAATACATAAACTTATCAAGATGGTTTAGCAATGTAAGTAATAAAATAGAATTATGTACTAATATGGCAATTAATTTACTACTAGTCTAATTCTAATTGCATTTAGCCATAATTCACACATACCTTTTTTTTATTTGATATTTCTCTTTTCATGGAATTTGATAATTTTTATATTTAAAAAAAAAATGCTTATTTATTATCTTAAATTTAAGAATACAGATACAATTGGCTCATTTGTATTAAAATAAAAATTTTATGCTTACCCTATTTGTTAAAGTTTGTTATGACCTGGTACATGTTAATCCAAGAATAAATACATATCTATAATATGCTATTTATGAAGTAATTTTGACATTATTATTTTGTGGAAACTTTTATTAAAAATACTACTCAAATATTTTTTACTAAAAATTCCAATTTCTGATGTTTACTTGACATATGTTTAAACATCTGATAATTATGATTTCAGGTCCAGCAAGACAAAAAAATAAGACAGTCATTGATTCCTCTTGTTTTTCTAAGGACTCCCATCTACGATGGTAATGGTGGTCATTGATATCTTTAAGTTTTTTTAAATTTGGATGGTGGCATACAAAAGTCCAGCAAGACAAAAAAATAAGACAGTCATTGATTCCTCTTGTTTTTCTAAGGACTCCCATCTACGATGGTAATGGTGGTCATTGATATCTTTAAGTTTTTTTAAATTTGGATGGTGGCATACAAATAAAACAATAATAATGCTTAAATTTTTTTTAACTTGTAGTTTTACTTTCTGATTATTTAACTTGTTCAAATAAAATTATAATAGCTTTGAATTTGAAAGAAAATCTATTCCAAATCATTCTTGGTGAGCATTCTGCTTGTTTAAAAAGTAAAAACAGTAAATAAACTACTGTTTCATTCTTTTGTTAATTTAAAGTAATAGTGCAAAAAATGTTGGAGCCACCACGATTTTTTTTAAAGTCACATGTTGTGTAATAACAGAATAAATGTATTAGCTATTATTAGTAGTGCATCTTAATAAAATTGTATAGTTTAAAAATATATTTAAATGTTTAATTTACTGATGCACTACAGTACAAAATATTTTTTTTTTAAAGTAATTGTTGGGCAAGATTAAAATATATTTTAACAAAAATGAAATTATTTAATTTAACATTATTAATGTTGCTTTTTTTTTAAAAATCTAGAAAAGCTTGACTATCAACAAATAGATGTGTAACTTTGTTACGTCTAGTGATTAAAAAAAATTATTACTAGAACTAAAATTATTTTTTGTTCATTTTTTACTAACAGCACATTAAATCATGATCAGTTTATTTATGATGCAAAATCAAACTACAGTATCTAGCTAATAAGTGTAATTTAAAATATGCAAATGTCTGAAAGTTCAAATTTTTGTATTGCTGCACTTAAACGTATTCAATTATGACATTCAATGAATTATAGTTTAGGTATCTGTTGTATTTGTATTATTTAAGAAAATAAAATGTTTAGAATTTTAAAAAATTTAAAAGTTCAAATTTTTGTATTGCTGCACTTAAACGTATTCAATTATGACATTCAATGAATTATAGTTTAGGTATCTGTTGTATTTGTATTATTTAAGAAAATAAAATGTTTAGAATTTTAAAAAATTTATTCCATAGCAGAATTGCATTTTTTCTTTACTTTTACTTTTATAACTCATATCTAAGACATAAGTTTTTTGGAGTGGTTATTATTAACCAGTAGTAAACCAGTCATTGGCTGGGGATCACGTTCAGCGTTATGTACCATCAGCTGGGATAATGTTGAGCATTATTCCCAGGCGACTGTATAATATTAATAATAGTCGTTTTATTTTCATAATAAAGTCTATAAAAATTGTTAATAATTACAGGCCATAATTCCGCGACTTTTTATTTTTTTTATTTATTGCTAGTGGTAGTAAACCATTTATTGGTTGGAAATAACACTGAGCATAATTCACAGTCGGCTGGTAAAAACATCGAGCGCTATACCCAGCCAACTGTGTATAGTATAATGCCTCTCTTGGTTTTTTTAGTGACACGGCACATAGTACCTGATGCACTTAATTAAGTGCTATTTCCCTCCTGAAAATGGATCAATGGGAAAGCTCTATTTGAATTAGGTGTCTCTATCTCAGTTCTTAACTTCAAACCAGTCAACTTATACTGATATGATTAATCATTTACATATATTACATTCATGTACCTATATAATTAGTTTTAATATTTTAACTTAGACTAGGAACAAAAATAATGTAAACGTAAACCAAAATAAAAACTACACGCTCATTCTTCTTAAATCTTTTAGTACCGGTATCTATTTCAAAAAGAGTACAGCTGGATATAGTTTCAAACACTTTGGTGTAGTCTCTGATCCTGGTACCCAGGTATTGCACTTATAAGGAGGTAGTTTTTTATGTGTTAAAAGAGACATTGGGTGGGCAAAACAGTACTCCAGATGTATTCGAACTGGACAGCCCCGATACATCACATGAACCACGACACACCAACCCAGAGGTTGTAAAAGAGACTAGTGAAAGTGTCGCTACCAAGGGTCAACCCTTACTTGCATCTTCAAGCCGCAATCAATCAGTAATTCTTTGTATTTTTAAAACTTTATTTGCGTTCTGACAAAAAGGCTACTAAAAAAAACAGTGACCAACATCAATACAAATGCAATATTTTTATTACAACACAAGTATGTAACAAAAGTGCATCAAAGTATTCAAAGCTGGAGGGAAAAAAAATAAAATATTTTGTCACTGGGCTCATTTACAGCTAATCAAAATTTCATCCAGAATGATGATTTGAGAACATATGTTTGAAGAGAAAACAATACATCAGTATTTCAGCTTAATTTTATAAAGAGGGAGGTCATTAATGTAACTCATAGAATAATAATTGTCAGCTCAGAAAATGTTTTATTTTAAAGAAATGTCTATTCTGTTAGAATTAGTAGAATACTTTTTGAAAATACTATGGTGAACAGATTTTTCAGGGTGGTTGGGGAAGTGGGGGGGGGGGATATTCCGTATAATATAAGTAAACAATAAATTAGAAAAGAACCAGAAATGTTTTGTGTGTAATTTACTAAAACGTTCAGAGTCTGAGATTGAAAAATGTCACGTTTTCAATGTTTATAAAAGAAAAAACAGCTTGTCAGTGAGTAACGAACTATTATTAACAATTTTTACATGTTAAAATATAAAAAGGAATTAACAAAAGCGACATATGTCAGAAATATGAAGAATCAACAAATGAATTGTAATTATTAATTTCATAATTATGACACACTAATATTTCTGAGATGAGTGGATAGCTCTAAAGACATCATAATTTTAAAAAATAACATATCATAAAACTTGTCACATGAATCACTGATATTGCATTTGACAACCAGAATATGTTTCAGTGAATTGAATTTCAGTTGCAATTTATCTGGTGTTTACATGTTTTTAATCAGAGGATAGACTCTTAATTACAGTTACAATGGGGTATTTGTCCCTGTGTGGAAAAGAACTGATAGTATGTATGACTGACGATTATTATTGTGTGTATTGAGTTACCTAACTAGTTGGCCTGTGTTGTCGTCATGTTGTATGACTGGACGTGGTGAGTTGTTTTCATGAATGTCCAAACTTAAATGTGTGAATATTGGTTGGAGAAATGGAGTTAGTGATCATATGATGTGAGGTATAAAAATAATGTGGAATGAGAAATAAAGATTAGTTTTTACACAGACCACAGGTGAGTTTGGATCGTCTTTTACTTTTACTATTACATGTGTCAGAAGTGTGATTTAAACTGGAAATTATTATTTACTTCTTGTTGATTACTACAGCACATTCTTTGAATTTAGTCTCCTTCCGTCTCTAAAAGTAAAAACTTCTGATGTGATCATTCATGTGAAGTCTCAATCAGCTAGCCATGGCATTCCAAGAGAAGTAATTGGTGACAATGGACCCCAGTTTTGCTGGGACGAGTTTTTCAACTTCTCAAAACAGTGGGGATTTAGTCACATCACTTCAACTTCAAGTCACAGATACCCACAGTGGCATGGCTGAAAGAGCAATATAGAGAGTAAAGACACTTTAAAAAAAAAGGCTCAAGCTTCGGGCCATGATCCATATATTGCCCTGTCTCAGTTTAGAAATGCTCCATGCCCTGATGGACCTTCATTTGCACGGCTACTCATGGGCAGACGCCTGAGATCAACTCTTCCAGCTACTGATGCCTTCAAAACGATCAAGGAAGATATTGCAAAAGAACAGCGAAACTCACGGATCATCCACATATTCAGCCTGGGAGCAGTGCCCATATGCAGAACAGGCCTTGAAGGTCATGGAAGCCAGCAGTAGTTATCTCAGAAGCCTCCACACCAAGGTCATACATTGTCAAAACACCAGATGGGATGACATATCGGCGAAATCAGAAAATGGTAAAAGAGACATTTGGCGGACAAAGCAGTACTCCAGATGTATTCGAACTGGACAGCCCCGATACAACACATTAACCACAACGCACCAACCCAGAGGTTGTAAAAGAGACTACCCGGTAGTGAAAGTGTCGCTACCGGGCAGGGGTGGACTGGGGAGTTCAAGCGGCCCGGGGAAAAATCAAAGGGGCCCAATCTTCATGACTTTTATTATATCACCGGTCCTAGCGGCCCATCGGGAATCTTCCCGGTGTCCTGGCGACCCAGTCCACCCCTGCTACCGGGTGCCATCAAACATATTCTAGCACCAGGGTACCGGTAACAAGATATGACGGTCAAGTGAAACCACCGATACGCTTCTCTGACAGTAGTGACAGGGACATGTAAAATATACATTGCCATACAGTGCAAATTAATATTTGAACTATTTTTGCATACAATAAAAATTGTTGGATAATATTTTACTATTGATATAGTGGTGCATACATAACTTGTAACGACTTGTTCTTGATTATCTATTGATTGTCTTATAAAGAGGGAGGTGTGATAATAGTAGGTAAAAGTAAAAGTGACGATTATTCTTGTGTGTATTGAGTGAACTTTGTGACCTGATGGGCCTGTGTTGTCATGTTTTATGACTGGACCTACCGGTAGCGTGTTGTTTTAATGAATGCTTAAACTTAAATGTGCGACTATTCGTTGGCGAAATGGAGTGAGTGGTGATGCGAGGTATAAAAAAGAATGTAGAATGAGGAATAAAGATTTGTGGTTACACAGACCATAGGCGATTTGGAATCGTATTTTACTATTACAAGAACGCAGTTCGTCTGAAAAGGTTACAGGCCGGGACATTTCCTGACCTTTCGGGGATGCAGAGACGGGTGATGCGAAAATAAGGGAGTGTTACCAGGGACACTTACCATGGACGTGTGGTCACTGTAAAAATACAGTCTTCATTGAAAAGTGAATTTATATAAGAGAAAAAGAACACACACATATTGTTGAACAACTGCATTTCCCCACACCCAGTAGCTATCAAAAGTCTATTTGTACAGTTGCACAACTCTTCAAAATTTGTTAATTTTTACAATCATGTTAACAGTCCGTTAAAAGTATCCAACTCTATATACGGTAGCAGTGAGCAGCACTATGTCACATTAGCATTTTTGTATATTAGAGCACAGCTACCAGTGACCAGTTGTTAAATATTGGTGTCTCAAATTGACCTAAATTTTTTTTTTTAAAAAATATAATTACACTTCACTTTTAAATTTAATAGACTAGAATTGCTCATGACTCATACTGAAAATATCAATAAAAATGTAACATGGGCTCAAGGTCTCTATATAATGTATTATTATAGGCTAAAATGATATGTTTGTTTAAATTTATAAAATAAACGATCTGCACTATATACTATATTCTCTATTGTGAACTTTAAGAAAATTTAAGTCATATAGTGTATTATTAAAATGATGTTTTTAAATAACGTTTTCAATGGCTTTGTGTGAGCCAAAAGACTAAACATAATTTATAGACCCCGTATTTAACAATGTTACTAAATAATTTACTAATGTACCGGTACCGTAATGATTTCATATCTGGATGTTCAATTATCTCATACTAAATCTTGGTGGGACTTTATTCCTACTCAAAACCTCTCTGCTCCCTTGGATGTGTTTGGCATAGAGGCCGAACGAATTTCGGTTTCGGCGCCGAAAGTGGCCATTTTATCACTTTCGGCCAAGTTTCGGTTTCGGCCGAAACTGGAAAGTTAACTTTCGGCTTAATTTCGGTTTCGGCCGAAAGAGAAAAGTTAACTTTCGGTTTTTCTTCGGTTTCGGCCGAAATTGACTTAGACTTTCGGCCATCCGGCCGAAAGTTACTCAGGTTTTCGGTCATTTAATACTAAGCGAAAGCGATATTTTACAACAAACTAAGCGACATTTAAGAACAAATTAAGCGATCTTTGAGAACAAACTAAATGATATTTAACAACAAACTAAACGACATTTATGAACAAACTAAACGATCTTTAAAACAAACTAAGCGATCTTTAAGAACTATCTAAGCAATCTTTAATAACAAACTAAACGATCTTAAAGAAAAAACTAAACTATTTTTAAGACCGAACTAAATGATCTTTAAGAACAAAACAAATGATCTTTAATGATTTATAAGAATAAACTAAGCGATCTTTAACAGAAGACTAAATGTTCTTTAAAAACAAACTGAAAGATCTTTAAGAACAAACTAAGCGTTCTTTATGAAAAAACTAAGCGAATTTACAACAAACTAAGCGATATTTATGAACAAACTAAACGATCTTTAAGAACAAATAAAGCGATCATTAATAAAATCTAGACGATCTTTAACAACAAACTAATGCGATCTTTAAGAGCAAACTAAACGATCTTTAACAACAAACCAGGCGATCTTTATGAACAAATTAAACGATCTTTAAGAAAAACTAAACGACCTTTAACGACAAACTAAACGATCTTTAACAACAAACTAAACGATCTTTAAAACAAACTAAACGATCTTTAAAAACAAACTAAATGATCTTTAACAACAAACTAAACGATCTTTAACAACAAACTAAAGATCTTTAACAACAAACTAAACGATCTTTAACAACAAACTAAACGATCTTTAACAACAAACTAAAGATCTTTAACAACAAACTAAACGATCTTTAACAACAAACTAAACGATCTTTAACAACAAACTAAACGATCTTTTACAACAAACAAAACGATCTTTAACAACAAACTAAAGATCTTTAACAACAAACTAAACTATCTTTAACAACAAACTAAACGATCTTTAACAACAAACTAAATGGTCTTTAACAACAAACTAAGCTTTCTTTAAGTACAAATTAAGCGATCTTTAAGATTAAACTAAGCGATATTTTAGAACAATCTAAGCGATCTTTAAGAACAAACTAAACGATCTTTAAGAACAAACTAAAGATCTTTAACAACAAACTAAACTACCTTTAACTACAAACTAAACGATCTTTAACAACAAACTAAATGGTCTTTAACAACAAACTAAGCTTTCTTTAAGTACAAATTAAGCGATCTTTAAGATTAAACTAAGCGATATTTTAGAACAATCTAAGCGATCTTTAAGAACAAACTAAACGATCTTTAAGAACAAACTAAAGATCTTTAACAACAAACTAAACTACCTTTAACTACAAACTAAACGATCTTTAACAACAAACTAAATGGTCTTTAACAACAAACTAAGCTTTCTTTAAGTACAAATTAAGCGATCTTTAAGATTAAACTAAGCGATATTTTAGAACAATCTAAGCGATCTTTAAGAACAAACTAAACGATCTTTAAGAACAAACTAAACGATCTTTAACAACAAACTAAACGATCTTTAACAACAAACTAAACGATCTTTAACAACAAACTAAACGATCTTTAACAACAAACTAAGCGATCTTTAAGAACAAATTAAGTGATCTTTTAGAACCACATTTTTTAGAGACCCGGTTTCAAAAAAATAATATTTTGCATTAATTCCTCCCTACCCCCCCCCCAACCCCCCAATTTCTGCCAAATTTTCTCCTACCATACAAATTTGAAAAAAAATTGTAAAGCAATTTAAATTAGTTTTATATTAAAATGGTAAAATCCAAAGTATTCATTAGATCAAGGGTATCAAACTCAAATTGGGGGGGGGGGGCGCAGGAGGTAGTGTCTGAATGAGAGTGGGCCGCATCAAGTAATCCACAAAAAAGCGATTACAACTGTTACAGCTGGTCAACCTTTATAAATAACAAAAAAATCATTAAGGGTTCTCAAGGACTAGGATTCACTTTCATCCACCTACTCACTGTTGCCAGAGAGCTGGCATACAAATATATAGAGACATTAAAAAAAAAAATCAGAATTAGATTAGTCGGTGAGATTCGACTGAAACCGTCGCGGAGAGTCACGTTATATATATGAGAATGGGGGAAACGGGCCGGCGAATTTACACTAAACTTTTCTGTCATGTAGCGGACCGCAAAATATCGTCTTGCGGGTCACAAATGGCTCGCTGGCCGCGAGTTTGAGAACCCTAAATTAGATTTTTATTTATTAATATTTACGATTATCTCATTTTTATAAAAAGAATGTAAATATTTATATTTTCCCCACATCATTTTCGATGTAAGCAGAATGTATGCGGGAAAAAATTTCAAAATATCTTAATATTTCATTTTCGGTTTCGGCTTCGGTTTCGGCCGAAATTCATTTTTAACTTTCGGCTTTTCTTCGGTTTCGGCCGAAAGTCATTTTTAAACTTTCGGCCTTTTTTCGGTTTCGGCGGAAAGTCATTTTAAACTTTCGGCCTATTTTCGGCTTCGGCCGAAATTAGAAAATCACTTTCGGTCGGTCTCTAGTTTGGCAATAATGGTTTTTACATAATTATACTACAGTAGGCCTAATTTTTGTAAAAAGGCTTTGGACTTTGCTACAGTGATAGTGATATGTATTGTTTGTGAGTTTTGTAAATTAAAATTTTACTTTTATGAGCAAATCTTAATTAAAAAAATATTTTTCTAAATTCATGTATGCAAACATAATTATAATGAAAATACGTATTTTAACAAAGACTGTTTAAATAATAAAATTTAAAGTTTAAAAGAAACATATACAACTTTAACATAGATCAATATTTACAGATGCTTTAACATTTAACATTACAAACTTGTGTCCCTTCATATTTAGAATGTAAAAGAAAAATTCACAATTGAAACATAACTGTTTAAGAAATTAAGGTAAATTGACATTTTTGTGTAGTCTTTTGTAAAGTCTGATGAAGAAAAGCATCTAGCCAAAACGTCCTGTTAATTGTCTGGTCTTTTTTTTTTTTTTTTTCCAAGCTTAAACATATCGTGTTACACTATTTATTTACTTCACGCGGCTTGAACGCAGTCCCATATATATATATATATATTATAGTGAAATCCCATCTCCAATAACTTTAATTTTTAGAAAGTGCATTTTTGGTTGATCTGTGGCAGTGTTGTGGGTTGTGATAATTTTGCTATCTCGATATTTCTCGTGCTGATAATCACAATAAACATCTTGGTCTAAAGCTTTGACTACTTTCAAATTGCCCACTATATTACCCATATCTCCGCAGTTATTAATATAATGATACTGACTTCTGGAATCCCTCTCTGCTACCTGAGACGAGCAGCCCATGTACAAAGGTTCTTTCGGTATGTTGTCTACACTGACTACAGGTTTGCATGGTGAGAAGGAACTCGAATCTAAGTAATTTGGTTCTAAAGCCTGACCTATCAATGGTCGCATTGTAAGAGCTTCGAATCTCAGAACTGATTTATTTGAATCGTGTGCAAGACTGCAATTAATTTTCCTAATATTGTTTGAATTGTACGTTTCTGATTTCATATTTTTTTCTCCTTCTTGTCCCGTGCGTTCACTGGTCAACACCGAACTACATTTATTGCGCGGTGGAAGAGTGCGAGTAATCACCTTATCCTCACATGTGTGTTTATGATTGACGCCAGGCAAAGTTAGAGGCGTTGATGATATCACTTCATTTTGATAGGACGTTTCTTGCCTGCTCGTCTGAGAACTCTCATCAATTCCCCTGTAAGACTCCCTGGGTCCCAGGCTGGGTTCTGAAAATTGAGTTTTAAGCCCACGTTTGCAGCTGTTAGTAATTGTTTTATTACTACACACACTCGGTAGAGACTGTCCTATTAATGAGAACTCTTCATTTGATGTTGTGAGCTTTTCAGATGTATTATCACTTAACCCTGACGAAGGTGACCTAAATTTATCACGTAAATTTAAACTTCTGTATCTTCGAGAACCAAGAATTGATTTGATTGATTTTTTCACTGGAAGGAGATTTCGATCTAACTGCGACGGCGATGGGGTTAGCTGGCGAACATCTAAATATCCCGGTAAACAAAAATTCTGTTCATTTTCCCCCATGGTTATATTGGAAATAATATTTTCTTGTGTCCATGTCCTCGTGTTATTCTGAAGGTTATTAAAAGATTTATTCCGGAGTTTAAGCTGACCATTGGTATTTGTGGTGTGTGCTTCAGAAATGGTTGCACATTCCGTGTTAAGTCTTACAATCCTCAAACCCTCTGTCGGGTCAAAGTTATTGATTTGTTTCGTTTCACGGTTGAGGACTAAAGGTTTAGTGGTCCCCAAGTTAACATAGGAAGAAAATGGATATTCTGCTCTTCTATAATCAAATGCTGGTATCCCTCTAGCTGTTTCTTTTGTTACCGGTATTTCAAAACCACATCGTCTCTGTGAATCTTTGTTCTGTGCTACAAGGAGTATCGGTGAGGCACCATATAGAATGTATGATGTAATAGGATCACATATATAAATTGCATCACATTGCGACACTTCAGTTTGATTTTTAAACTGTTCTATTTCTGTTGGGCTAGTATGAATTTTAGTTGCAACCTGTGGTTGATGGTCTTCGCCTCGCGACCTCGATGAAATATAAGAGGATTGATTCCGTTCGTTAGATTCCGTGAAGTTTTGACTAACATTAATTATAGTTCTAACACGAGTTGCAGTCAAATGATCTTTTTTCACAGAATTATTTAATCCTGTCCCACAAAGAGCGTAAGATGTAATATGTTCTCCGTTAGGCTTGAATCGTTGATCATTATTAATCTTCAAGGCCGGTGTTCGCTGTGTTCTGGTCAGCAGTGTAAGGCGCTCTTCAGAAATAGTTTCTGATGACCTCACATTAACAGGCTTATAATCAATCGCAATGGTTTGGCTAGTACGAACGTTTACCATATTAGCTAATTCTACATTCACATTTAAACAGTTGTTTTCATTAAAAAATCCATTTGGACTATGCTTGAACGATCGAGGTGTGATAGCATATTTTGATCTTTCGCTCATAAGTGACTTGGCCGTGTTAGGAGATGCAGCCGTGTTAGGCGGAGCAGGCGGTGTGTTGGAACTAAAATAGTTCTCTTTTTGAAGGTGACGGTTTCTAGTTCCTCTATGTTCAATATCAGTTCCACTGTGAAACAATGCTCCATTGCTCTCTCCTTTGGAAACAGTATCCCCAGAAAGAGAATCTCCCATGGTTTCAAAAGAGTGAATACCCATCGCAGTATAAGTCAACTTGGATTCACTGTTGACAACTGCGACGATATTTGCGAATGTAACCTGACTAAGATTCTTGAAAATCCGACATAGCATTGTCGTCTTGAACACAGCAACCAAAAAGTGTATCCAACAGTTGGCCAGACTTCAAGCCCAATGACATTTCACTTTCTTCGCTTTTGAAATATACGGCTATTCATTGACAAAGCCTCGGGGGCGGGACTTGCCAATTCCATATTTCCCGTGACGCCATTCTTTCATTGTCCCGTTTGAGTTACATATAATGGAGCTAAATTCCTTAACAGTAAAAGACCCCCCGCGGTGTCGAGAACCGACTTGTTCACAGAAACGTTTACACAAAGAATTAGAAACCATACATGTTAAAGTTAAAGGCGACATAACCTTTCCACAGTGTTAATGTTCAATAATGTTTTAAAAAAAAAAAAATATATATATTTTTAAAAAGCCGGGAGTGGTAGGGATCTCAAGCCAGGGAAACAGTATCGAATGTCCTTTCTACTTGTCCCTGGCATTATACTCGGTATCATTGTCCCCATTAGCCTTGAAATAGGTGTGTGAACATTGAACGTTAAAACACGGCTTGTCGTGCGTCGATAGGTAGATAAGATTGTAAGCCCCTGTATCATAAATGTTTTATACTTCTCAATGCCATATTTGGTCATAGTTTAATGAATGCTGCGGTTTCAAGCTTTGTAAGAGGGCAATAAAAAAAATCATATTGGTTCAATTTCAGTGTATTCTTCCTGAACTTGTAACTTAAGCCGTTTAGCTTTAATTTCAAAACCTTATTTCTAGATCTCACAGTTACTTCTAATGTTTCATAAATATTGATTAAACGCCCTGTTTCAAATTTATAAAGACTTACGTTCGATCGTCAGTGGAAATGCTAATGAACGCTAAGAAAGCAAGATATCGACCTCGTGAGGGTCTATTGGTTGCGACCGGTGTAAACACTTACAGCAGTTTTATGTGCTTTGCCGTGTACGGCGACACACTATTATCCGTTACGACGATCGGGTTTGCGATTTTAGTTTGTATCAACAAGTCTAGAGATATAGCCCCATTACCAATAACAATTTAAATGTCAGCAAGTGTCAATGTTTATTCTTGTGTTATTGATGATGCAGACAAAATCGCCAATAAATGCAACACACTTGATGCAGGAAGTGTTTGTTGAGCATAATTCAGACCTGTTTATCCATGGGTTAGTGTCAGCGTTTTTTCAGCTCTCAAATACGTAGTTTTAAGCTCCAAAGAGTAGTTTGGTCAATTAGCGC